CATGATGAACCATTGCTGAAGGCATGAACTGCCTATAGAACTACTGTGTGCTCATAACAAGGCAGTTGTGTGTGATGTTGAAAGGTCTCACTGATGCCTACAAAACAGATGCTTGCTACTGAACTAATCAAGAGGTGAATGTATTAAGTAATCAAAAAATACAAGAACAGAGGCCAATACTGCAGAGAGACTCTATTATCTTTTATTGGTCAAGTCATTGTGCAGATGCTTTTTCAAGTTTTCACACCTCCAGCTGAGTTTAGGGAAGAAAGGTCCTCTGAAGCACTCAGCAGGACCACTAGCTGTGTATTCTTCACCGAAGACAAGAAAAACTTAAGGCTCACAGCCGTGCGCTTTCTCCGACAATGCAGCCAATGAAACTGTCATATGCAACAAAAGGTATGAGTGTCTTTTGGATTTTACAAGGTGCTTGCTGAAGACATTTTGAACAAGACATACTTAACAAAATTACTCCAGCCTGTTCAGCTAGAGCACAGCAGGCAGAGTGTCTACACTATGGTGTGTTTACAGAACAAGCACCAGCACTGCTTTTATCTCCCCCCCCCCCCCCCCACTCTCCACCCACCCCCAGAACAGAAAGGAAGCAAATTTTCACTCTACCCTTCCAGGCTTTTTGCTGCAAATTCCCAGATGGCTATGCCTTCTTCTGAGCCAGATACATGGTGTGAATGGGAAGGGCCATGCGGAAGATAACTAGCCATAGCCATAACCAAACAAATTGCAAAAAAAAGATAAAGATTATGTCAATGTTAAGAGAACTCGGTAGAGCAAGAATATCGAAGACTGGGCACAAGGGCAGTAATCCCTTTATCTACAGAAACAGGCAGTAGTGATGTTCCGTGAATCAAAAATGGTATTGCATGCCTTAGAGAATTTCTTAACATCTCGTCCAGTTGCACTCTTTCTTTCTTTCTTTGCAGTGGCCCACAAGGAAGTGCATCTTTCCTCTCATCTTCCAGTGAAAGCTGAGGGGTGCCCTTCTCTGCCACAACAGCTTGGATGGAGGCATACTGGAGCAAATGTCTAGTAGAGGTGACCAAGTATGAAGGTCGAAAGTTAAATGGATAAAATGCAGATTTTAGAAAGCCAGTATGTTAAGGATGGCAATAAGCCAAAAGTTTATGAACTTAAGTATGGAACAAAGTGGTCTGAAGCAAAAGAACAAAGTTCGAGTCCAGTGGCACCTTTAAGACCAACAAAGTTTTATTCAAGGAGGTGTGAGCTTTCGAGTGCATGCCCACTTCGTCGGATGATGAAATGGAATTACAGATCATACTTGTATATATACACAAGGTGGCCTGTTAAATTAGCATGCAAAATGTTTTTTTGATAAAAAGAATGACAAGCTTGGTTTCTGGTTATCATCTGTTTCAGTTCAACTGGAGGGGAAAAAACAACATAGGTAATAAATATGTCAGAACTGGAACAGTTATCTCCCTGCAAACCACTTGCTCAACCTTGCTTTTCTTCCTTACCTTCTCAGTCCATGGTTCCAGGTGGTTAGCCATGTTGGTCTGAAGCAGTAGAACAAATTTAAAGTCCAGTGGCACCCACACACGGCTGGCCACCTGGAACTATCTTCATGAAAGGCACCACATTGAGCCGCATGGAATGGAACTCCATCAAGCTGAACCTTTGTTGGTCTTAAAGGTGCCAATGAACCCTTTGGTCTACTTCTCAATCCATGTGTACCACTCACAATGGAGAGACTGGCTGTGACTCTCTGCTTGCTGTCTTGGACCTTCTCCTGCCAATAGCTGGGTGCTGCCCCACCATATCTTCTGGCTCACTGCCCGTGGGTACAAGATAGAGCTCCTGGGCACACTCGCCAACACTAGGTGAAGACAGTCTCCTCAACTGAGCTGCCTGCAGCTCCCGAGAGTCAGTGCGAAAGAGTGGCTGAAGTATCAGACTAAAACAACATGGTTTCAGCTCTGCCATAAAACCCACTGGGGGATTTTGGGTCAGTCGCTTTTCCAGCTTAATTCTTCACACGAGGCTGTTGTGGTGATAACATGGGGGGAGACTATAATCACCATCCTAACCTCCTTGAAGGATCTGATAGAAAGATGGTAAAGCCCCATCACATGCCTTGACTGGGGAAGGTCCTTCTTCTTCTGGGAAGTTCGGCTAATTCTTCCACTGAAGCCTCTGCACTGCAGAGCTGGAACTGCTCCCCCACCCCAGACCTATTAGTAGGGGTACCCGCCCAAGGACTTGATCAACATTTAGGCACCCTGGAAAATCAGACAGCCCAGGCTCCTTTCCCCCTAGCTACCTAAACTAGGGGTAGGTAAAAGAACACCCCTGTCCCCATTTAAACTCTGAGGAACAAAAAACCCACAAAGTCATAATAAGGGGCTAAAACCTGCTTGCCAACCGCCTCCAGCCACATTCCTGTATGGCAAGGGGAAGGGAGAGCAGAGCAAAACAGCTGGGCAAGAAAAATGCTTCTCCATTATGTGTGTGTCTATCTCTCTCAAAGTAGCTGGGGTGTGTGTGACTGGCTATTTTAATTCTCTGGCCCATACTATGTCTCCTCAGGGGGGGGGTGTGACCGGCTGTTTTAATTCTGGCCCATACTATGTCTCCTCACCTCATGTTTCTGCATTAGGATACTGTTTTCACCAAGAATACCCTTTTAATCACCACCCAAAACAGTAGCCACACCTCGTATATATTTATCCCCACTGACCCAGAATACCACACTAGGTGAAAACACCCCTTTTAATGCTAGCTACAGTCAATTTGACCTTTAATAATCCTTGTTTTCAGGACCCGATGAATCTTCCCCTGTGCATTACTAAGTAGCTAAATGTTCCAGATTACACAAAGCGGCGTAACTTATTAGTAAACAATTTAATCTTAGGGTCAAAATTAGATACGATGGCATCTATCGGTCTGACCCATGAATGTCTTTTTCAAAAGCAATTTAACAATGGCGTGAGGGGGTGAACTTGAGGGCGTGATCCTAAATGGTGGTGGGCTGAGGTACTCTTTTCCCCTCCTGTGCTTTCCCAAGTGCTGAAATGGCTTGCAACTCATCCCCCCTCCCCCTGCAGCTGTTTTGTTACTTGAAAAGGCATGTGGAGGAAGGGAAGGAGAGCTCCTCAGCTCACTGCACTGCAGGCACGGTCAGGATGGGGGGGCCTTTCCTTTGCAGCATTTTCAGAATCACATTAAAAGGATGGCGGCGTCCAGGGATCAGACCTGTGGATGCTGTCATGTCTAGTTTGGCCCTTACTTTCAAGTAAGGGAAGGAGAAGCCTAACCATGCTTTTAGAGGGAATGCTCCTAGACAAAGTTTAAAACTCAGATGTGCCACCTGGAAAACAGGTGATCGGAACCTACGTGAGCTTCCCCAAGTGCAGGATTCGTTAAACTATGGCAGCCTCAAGCCAACTTTGAGACTTAAAAGTTTTTCTTCCGCAGTGGCAGCACATGTACCTAGTTAGCACTGAAAAGGTCTTCGGAGCAAAGTAAGCCTCACATATGCACAGGGCACTGTTCCAGTTACTTGTTTCCTAACAGGAAGTATAAAATAACCTTTGATACTAAAACATTTCAGTAAAATGAGCATGTCACAATACCACACTTAGTGTCAGAACACTACCAAGGAGAAGGCTTTGTTTTAGCAGGGGAAGAGGTAGACCATGCAACAGCAAAGGGTCCCAAGGAAAAGCCCGAATGGTATTCTAAGGAAAGCTTACAAGCTAAAGACAGATATAACTGAGCTGCTTTAAGGATTAAATTCACATTTACAGAATTAGAAGAGGCCGGACATTCTCCAGATAGACTCGGTAGCTGCAGTTGGCCTCAGTTCACCACGTGGTGGATCCACTAACTAAACAACATTAGCAGAACTCGGCAAGAGTCGTATACTGCTTTTACAGAAAGAGATTCAGGTGGGTAGCTGTGTCGGTCTGAAGCAGCAGAAGTACCGTAAGTTAAGAGTCCAGTGGCCCCTTTAAGACCAACAAAGTCTTAAGGTATAAGCTTCCGTGTGTGCTCACATGGACTCTAACTTTGTTCTGATTTTACAGACAGGTTTGCTAAATCAATACCCACAGAATTGTGGTCTTTCCCCCATTTGTCATTTAGCTGCAGGGCAGACAGCTGGTCACAAGAGGAACTTTAAAAAGTGTGAAGAATTTTGTTAGGAGCATGGTCCCCACATAGATCCCATACGTGCACAACTAACTTGGTTGCCTGTATGCAAAGCCAACAGCATATCAGATTACAAAGCTACATGCTTGTTCAGAGGTTTAAGAGGCAAACGTTTCAAGCCCCACAAAGAAGCTGAGCCCCAAGGAGCTTCATACAGTTAGAACCAGGAAAACCTACCTGTTGAGTGAGTTTGCCGTGCCACCTGACACCGCCTTATATAAGGATCTGCTTCCTCTACAAAGAGAGACTAGCGTCAAGTATATTTTAACTGCCTATCTTTTGTCAGTGAAGCCTGGTGGGAGCAGGAACCCATCTTAAAACTTGTGTGAAGAGATTTAAGGTTCAAATAAATCAGAACACTCCAGAAGTATTCCAGAACACTCCTAGATATTCTAGCTGCTGTGCAAAAAGAAAAAAGTGTTTATGAATAAATTCTTAAGTTCAAGGTCAGTTATCTAGGATTGAATGCAATCTGTGCATCTTTTGGAAAAGTTACCTTTTAGAGAAAGAATTGTTTTTAAGAAGGGGCGAGCATTCCAATACGTAGTTACCCAACTAGCATAGACACCGATACTAAGGCATATTCATTGTTTTTATTTAGGCACAAGGCATTGTGAATACCCCATACTCGAGGCCAATTATGAGTAGTGTAGTAAGCTGGTATTACAGTTCAAGGATAAGTGCAAACATACATTCACAGCTTTACTATCAAGGCTACATCACAACTGATATAAAGTGCCACGTTAGTGCTTACCCAACTCCATCTCACATTGCAAGACAGAACACCATATCCCCATATTTGAGACCTGTGTGTCTAAGTAACCAGTATGAAGTGCAAAAGTTAAGTCTCCCACCTTCCATCTTCCTTCAGGCTGTTTGAAGCAACTTTATTATTGTAAACAACAGTGTTCAGTCTTGATACAGGAGGTATCCTGAGAAGGTAGAGTACTTCCAACTGCTCCCATAAACGGCTCCTCTATGAAGGCGCAGCCAAATCTGGTCTCCTTGAAAAAGCTGGAGGACTGCGTGGTTACTCGCAGTCTCGTGATCTGGAGCCCCATCATTGGCATACGCGGATACTAGAACCTCTTCGTTTTTCATTAGGTTCACGTACAAGGGAACATTCACAGCCAATTTCAGCATGTGGAAGATAAAGACATAGGTGCCGTTCACTGGACAACTGAATCTACCGAGTTGGATATCGAAGGTTTCGCCAAGGTTGTTCAACAGCAGGTCGAACACAATGGGCTGATCAAGAGTTCCCGGAGCCAAGTTAGAAGTTCTAGCAGCGGAAAAAGCCACTCTCATCTGCTGCGGGAGGGGATAGACGTGAACAGGTAGTATGGTGGCCGCTTGGCTCGTCACTGGCATGTCAACAGGAGTGATGCTGCGGGAATCACCCTGCCCAGAGTCCCCACTGTTAAAGGTCTCATTGTCACGTTCTGGGCTGCTCACCTGAGAAGAATCGCTCCATCCTGCTGTCAAAGATCATGAGCAATAGTTAATTTAGATACCTTTAAAAGGGGGAGGGGGAGACCACAGTACATTTTTTTTTAGGAATCTTGCTTTTCCAAACTTTTGAGATTGCAGATATTTTCTAGAAGTACTTCTGTCGTACGTTGTCACCAGCCACTGTCTTTCTAGTTTTAAGAGACTTGCTCTTAGTTCTTACATATTCCTGGTGCATTTCTTTAAACTGAAAGAATAGCAGAGGTTCAGATGCATCTGCACGGGCTGTTTTTATGTGGTGATCAACGCATCTCACGGTATTCCTTGACTACAGATTGACAGGCATCATATGGGACATTGCAACTAGTTACTTCAGGTTAGCACAGTACGGTTTCCAGAAATCAGTCAAGAATACTGCAGGTCAGTATTTAAGGAAGACCGAAAATGGCCTGTTCTATGTCCACAAGCACCATAAGCAAACCCCTACCTCTCAGAAATGCATTTGTGAGCCCTTTGCCCACCTCGGCAAATTAACACCACTCTCTAAGATCAGATTAGAAGCAACATGCCACTTCCCACCGTAATTATCTTCTAGTACAGGAAAATCTATGCAATATTCTTACCACTAAGACAACACACATCTTAAAAATATGTTTCTTTATTTAGCATAGAAAACCAAGAAAACCAAGTTACCAATATCAACTGCACTATTAGCACTAACTGCACTGATGCATCTTGGCGGCTACAAGATTGCTTTCGGACTGTGATTCTTTGCCACTTCTCTCAGCTTTCCTCAACTCCCTTCTTCTGAAGTATTCTCTACCACGAGTTCTACCTGGAGCTCTACCTGACGAACAATTCTCTTCCTGTCTGTTTTCTTGCCTGCAACCTAAGACACAGAAACTTTAAACGTTTTTTCAAGTATGCACAGAACCTGCTACATGACATGACTTAACTGGTATTACCTCAATATTTTTAGTTCAGAATCAGAGCCTGGAATGATTGATACCTTGTCTATTCCATGTATGTAGTGGGTGTTATGCTTATTATGCTTATTATTATGCTTATTATGCTTATTATTATTATGCTTATTATGCTTATTATTATTAGGTGGAGAAAGTAAAAAGATGTTCCTCACATTAAGCGAAATGGGTGGTATCCAAATGGGGTTTTATGGATGCTAGTCCCGAACTTCCAGACAAGACTCTGTAACTCTCCCATTCATAGCCCACTGGGCTATGAGGAGGGCAAAACGAACCATAGGAAAAGAGATGTTCATGGTAAGTCCTATCAAAGTCATCCAGTGATGGGTGATCCCACCCTTCCTTACCCTTGCAGAGGAGAGGACATGTAGAAGTTCGAATTTTTCAAGTCATCTTCTCAGTTTTCGAAGTCTACCACTGATGAAATGCATCCCAACCAATCTAAGAGTTCTAGGATGCAACCGGAATAGATAGTGAAACTGTTCATAAGAGAACAGGAAGAGGATCATCCCCAAGGTCACCTTACTGAAGCTTGGGGGGGGGGAATCATCTCCAGGGGAGACACAGGTCTTAGCCAGGGTGGGACTGGATGCCCTGAGAAAGAGTCTTCATTTGCACATCCAGAGTCGCATTCCTTCAGACAAGACAGTGATGTTCAGCAGCAGCAATCCAGTCCAAGGGACTGAACTCTATCTCCTCCACTACACAATTTGTTGCAGTACTTTTTCCCTCAAGGAAGCTTTGGTAGGGACACCTATTTCATAATGCCTAGTTAGGCAGGAGTTACTCAAGCACTGATTGACAAGATGTCCTGCCAACAGAAGCCTCACAAAATTAACCAGAAGGTGTTTCACTGCTGCACACTGCGTTCCCCACCCCCGAGGGAGCCTTACAATAGTTTCAATCCACATCTGAGGAACAGCAATGACATTTTCCTCATTACGTTTCCCACCAGGCTTCCTCAAGTCTGCGTAGCCTAGAGAGGCACTGTGTTACCTACTCATAACTCCAAGCGAAGAGAGTTACATGAGTTACAGACAAGGAAGACGTGTGGGGGAGTGGAGAGACACAGCAATGTCCTGGAGTAGAACGGATCCCACCCCACTCCTGCCGATCTTGCATGCCACCCGGTCCTTCTCTCAGCAGGGAACGCCCTCTCGTGCGAGCCCTTAGCACAGCAGCCAGATTCGAGCTTCCTGCCGGGGGGGGGGCTTCTTCTGAGCATACTGGCAGAACAGCTGTAATGCCCTCGGTTACTCCGGCATCAAAAGAGCGGCTCCAGACTTCTCCTCCTGGGAACAGCCAAGCAATTCCTCCTGGCAGAGCCCAGAAGGCAGCGTCTCCAATGCACTGGAGAGTAGGTGACTGCAGTCACTGAGTGCCCTCTGAACAGTTCTGGGTAACTGTGCCAAGAACGGCACAACAGATGCTTTGCTGACTGCCCTCCCCATATCCCCCACCAGTCCTCTCTACAGCTCCTTAGTAGGCTCTCTGTTTAATCCTTCTATGAAGCCACTTGCTGCACTTGTTCGCCTATAAGAAGCAATCTGCTCGCTTTTGAGTCTCCTCTTTAAAAAAAAAAAAAAAGGCTTCCAGGCCCACAAATCAGGAAAGATTCAGGAAGCCTCCTCTCTGCAGTCAAGGATGGAGATAAAGCTGAGAGGGGGACTCCCCCTAGTGGACGTTTTAAGCAGCTGCAAGTCCTGCCTCTGGCAGCGAGAAAGGGAGCTTCCCATCACCATCTACCATGGCAGAAACTGGAAAAATATGTACAGACCGTAGTAGCCTGTTTATCTCAAGGGCACACGTGGGAGGTGTGAATACTCTAAAGGAGACGTATCAAAGCAGATGCAGCCCATCTCAATACACAGCACCTAGTACTGCACTGTACTTTACAGCATTACCAAAAGCAGCCTTACCTCTCGAGTTTGCTCGCCCACTATTAATGCCACTGCCTCCTCCTCCTCCTCCTCGCTTATAGTTCTGTTGGTAATTCACATCCTAGGAAGACAAACATTTGTTCCCACTCATCAAGTACAGCTTAAAGTTCTTCCACCGAGATAGTTGCGTGCTTTAGATTGAACCCTAGTTCGGATATTTTGTAAATCAATAGGTTTTGAAAGTGCCAGCGTGACATGGGCTATCTCCCCTTTTCTTACGCTTAAAACCGATTGGATGCTGAGACCTAGATAGGCAGCCTCTTGATACTTCCTTCCCCTACAGTGGAACAGAGAAGAAAGAACTGAGCCGCAACACTAGTGTTTGACTAGCATGCCTACTGTCAGCTATGCTGCCATGGTTGGCAGTGGGGGGTGCAGCGGCTGATGTATTATTTCTTGTTAGACTGGAATGTTAACTTTCAGTTCTCCTTGCTGAGTTTTAGCTCGTTGCCTGAGCACCTGACCTCTCTCCTGGTGCTTTGCTGGGAATGTGAACCCATTCGTTTAGGCGTGCTGCAGCTAATTCCATGATTGGCTCGACCTAGTCAGGGGACCCCACTTCAAATCCCGTTTATCTATTTCCCTCCCACCTTTAGGATTAGTTCTGACACTGAATGTATGCACAGATGACTTGCCTTTACTGTACTCCAACTTGAACCTTTTCGAGGAACCTTGTTGAGAACTGATTGCTGCGAGACTCTGACACCTACATGGGGAGGGCTGGTGCTTGCCATGTCATCCCACTATTGCTGCCGGGGAAAGCATCTATGTTTTGCCTAAGCCCTGGCGCTTGTTTCCTTGAGCCCTGTTTTAGTGGAAGCTCCTGATCGTGTGTGCTTAGAACCACAGTGAACTCTTGGGAAGCCAACGTGGAGAGTATATTCCTGAATACAGAGCAAGCCAGGTTACCTCCAAAGGAGTCCAAGTTTTGTCAACATCAGATTGGAAGCTTGGTGACCGAGAAGGCTCCAAACCACACACGAGTGTCATCTCAATATATCTGAGGGACCCATCAGTACCGGATCTGGTTCAAGGTTATGGTTTTGCCCTTTACAGCCCTATGCGGCCCGGGCCCATCATACCTGCAGGACTGCCTCTCCCCATATGAGCCCCAGAGAGCTTTATGCTCTTCTGATCAACATCTCCTGGTGGTGCCTGGTCCAAAGGACATATGCTTAAGCTTTGACCAAGGCGAGGGCTTTTTCAGCCCTCGCCCTGGTGGAACATGCTCCCATTTGAGATCAGGGCCCTGCAGGACCCAGTACAGTTCTGCAGGGCTTGTAAAACGGAGCTATTCCAGGCAGCAGGCATTCAATCCATTCTGGGCCCTCCTGTCCATGGTGCTGCTCATGACCTTTTTCCAGTGCCTCTGCTGTCCTGGATATTATTTGGGTGCTGGAATTTCTTGGGATAATTATTCCATGATGCATGGGTGGTTTTATCTGATATTGCTATTTATTGTTTTTATTGCTTGTTGGTTTTATGTTGTAAGCTGCCCTGAGCCCATTTTTGAGGTACAGCAGGGTATAAATTTAATAAATTAAAAAAAGATTAAAAATAATATCTGTTAACTGGGGTGCAACAGGAGATACGATTTGTCCCTAAATCACCTGTTACAGCACAACATTCCCAAGGCAGCAGGCTAAATTGTGATGTGAACTAATGCTCATGCCCAATTATTTGCACATCAGTGCTTGCTCCTGGCTTCTGATCTGGGATCAAAGATGCCAATATTAAAAGCTGCAAGTCTGCAAGAAGAGACTTGCAGAGTCCTTACCCTCTGAGGATACTGCATGCTGGAATAATCTCTGCCAGGAAGCTGCAAGTGGCTATAGCTGCCATTAGACATTGAAGGGGGTCCCCTGTAGGCTTCGAAACCAGCTGGAATAGAACGTGAAGCCGTAGAGTCATTTTATTTCACCAAAATTCTCTTTGTGCGGACTGTTGCCAACTTATGCCGTGTCATCTGCTTTGATTCTCGGTGAGGTGAGAAAGGTGCGTTATAAATACAGTAAGTAAACAAACAAGAACACAAGCTATTGCCCAGCCATGGTGGCTATTCAGGTTGAAATGTGGGCGCATGACCAGGATGTTACAAAATCTTAACATCTAGAGGAGACTCATCCAGTGCAAGTGTTTAAGAGCCACACACTAAGGAGCTCCTCCCCACTCCAGGTTATCTTTTGATGGCTCTTCATTGGGGACTAATTACTCAAAGCCCACAGGGTTCCCTCTTGCAACCACTACATCTTCCCCATATTGTAGCACTGTCTCTGGAACTGTTTGGTCACTAAGCTCCACCCATGAGCTGCAAGAGCGATCCCAGGTGTTGCCAAAATTCAACCCTGAGCCTGTCCCGCTTCAATTATTCAAAGATTTCATTCGTTCTGACATATCAAATGACGTCCAGCGGGCAAGCAATGAGGCTGCCATTCTACAATTCACCTGGTGCTGGGTTTTTATGTTTCTGAAGGAGAAATTTCATCCACTGGACATACCTTTATAGCCACCAGACGAGCGGTAGGCGTTGGTAACTGATCTTGTCCCTCTGAGGGGGCCTCGGACTGACCCTCGGGCTGTGACGAATGGTTGCGGTGGTCTTGGGAAAGGTGTCGTCTGCGCTGCATAAAAGGTGAGGCTACCGTTGCTTACAGGAACTGTCCCCTCAACGTGGTAATTAGCTGCTTAAGGTAAGAAGTATATTTAAGTGGATCTCCTGTGATCTACCACATTCATCATTTATTAAAAGCCTTTGCAAGAAGGTATACACCAAAATCTTTTAGGTTCCCCCCCCCCCCAGGTTTTATTCCAACACCCTAGGAGAATCTCCACTCCCCCTACCACTTGGATTACTTGGATAAGAGGAAGAGGGGAAGGGGAAGGAAGGTGTGTAAACAGTGATTATATTTAACACAATTACCCTGAATACAGATATGTATCAGAACCAATGGGCATCTACTACACCAGGGGTCCCCAACATGGTGTCTGTAGGAGCCACGGCACCCACCAACATTTTTCCTGGTGCCCCCAGAGTGCTTTTAGAGAGTGGGTGGGGACAGGTGAGGCGTCTGACCAGTGGGGCTTCTGATTGGCTGTGCAGAGATTTTTTCCTAGATGTCACATTGGCAGCTGCTGCCACCACAGCACAAGAATCTTCACGGTGTGACTGAAGGGAAGCCCCAACAGCCTTTTTTATGGCTGGCTCCTACTGCACCCACCACACTATCAGAATGCCAAAGGTACCCACAGGCTTAAAAAAATGTTGGGGACCCCCCATATTACCCCATCCAGAACAAAGGGTAAATATAATTAACTTATTTCTCCCATTTTACTTTGTCGGTTTTAACTATCAGGATTCAGATCATACAGTCAAAGAATAGTCCCTCACTTGTACATTAATGCTGCTCTGCAGCTCAGAGGGTTGCTTTATATGTTGCCGCTTTAACAGAATAGCTCCCCACCCCTCAGTACTAAAACAGTCTCCTACTGTACTTGGTCCACTAATTTTTAACTTGTTCTTTAATGATTTTGAGATGGGAGTAAGCAGTGAAGTGGCTAAATTTGCGGATGATACGAAGTTGTTCAGGGTGGTGAAAACCAGTGAAGATTGTGAGGCACTCCAAAGGGATCTGTCAAGAATGGGCGAGTGGGCGTCAACATGGCAAATGGGGTTCAACGTGGCCAAGTGCAAGGTGATGCACATTGGAGCCAAAAATCCTAACTATAAATACACATTGATGGGGTCTGAACTGGCAGAGAACGATCAAGAGAGAGATCTTGGAGTTGTAGTAGATAACTCACTGAAAATGTCGAGACAGTGTGCGACTGCAATAAAGAAGGCCAATGCTATGCTGGGGATTATTAGGAAGGGTATTGAAAACAGATCAGCCAATATCATAATGCCCCTATATAAATCAATAGTGCGACCTCATTTGGAATACCGTGTGCAGTTCTGGTCACCACACCTTAAAAAGGATATTATAGCTTTGGGAAAAGTGCAGAAAAGGGCTTGCGAGGAGGGCGGGGTATAAGTGAAATAATTTTTTTAAAAAATGAAATAAAATAAATAAAACTTGAATGATAAAAGGGTTGGAACACTTTCCCTATGAGGAAAGGTTAAAGCACTTAGGGCTCTTTAGCTTGGAGAAACGACGACTGAGGGGTGACATGATTGAGGTTTATAAGATTATGCATGGGAAAGAGCAGGTAGAGAAAGAGGTACTTTTCTCCCTTTCTCACAATACAAGAACTCGTGGGCACTCCATGAAATTGCTGAGCGGTCGGGTTAGAACGGATAAAAGGAAGTACTTCTTCACCCAAAGAGTGATTAACACATGGAATTCACTGCCACAGGAAGTGGTGGCAGCTACAAGCATGGACGGCTTCAAAAGGGAATTAGATAAGCATATGGAGCAGAGGTCCATCAGTGGCTATTAGCCACAAGGTATAGCTAGGGGCTCTGGGGCAAGTGATGCTCTGTCTTCTTGGTGCTTGGGGGGGGTCAACAGTGGGAGGGCTTCTAATGTCCTGGCCCCACTGGTGGACCTCCTGATGGCACCTGGTATTTCTGGCCACTGTGTGACACAGGGTGTTGGGACTGGATGGGCCTTTGGCCTGATCCAACATTGGCGTCTCTTATGTTCTTACAGTACAGGGAACCATCAGTATTAGCCTGGCTGCATTCGCAAGCTCCTCCTAAAGGAAATGTGATTCTTCTTCCAGTTGCACTTAAGACATAGTAAAGTCACACATCCAGGACAGCCAGGGGGCAGTTTATTCAAAGCTAAGTTTACACAGTGAGTCCAGTGCTCAAACTGGCACAAGTACACACTTAGCCTCACTCCTCAAGCCTTCAGGAAATCCCTTGAACAGCTGGAGCATTTTCTCTAAGTTCCTGGACTCCCTTTGCACTCCCCCAAGGGAAAAACACAGAGACCAGCACAGCTTATTTTATGTACAACAATGGCCAGTGCAAGTTTAACAGTAAATACTTATGAAACGCCACTGCGCTCAAGCTCGAACTCCCTACAGCCGGAAAGCCATCTGAATGGGAATCATCCCCCTTCCCATCCACAGGTGACCAGCACAGTGCTGTAAGTGGCCCCAACTCCTTGTTTTATGCTGCTTAATGGCTTGTTTAAGAGAGTGACAGTTTAGTGGAAAATAAACTGTTTTTACTTGTAAGGTGCTTCAAGGAGACTCCTAGAGAGGAAGCATATAAATTCTCTAAGCATTAATAATCTAGAAAGGAAGACGAAGGAGTTTCCTCAAATCCAGGAGTTATGACATAGCCGGGGGTCAAACTAGGCATGACAGCATCCTCGGGCCCACAGCACAGGGCTCTTCCCCCCCCCCCCGCAATGTCTTTTCAAGTCCTGAAACAACCACAGGGGAATGGGTGCAACTGTTCCAGCATTTTTGTTAGGTCTGTAAGGGAGGGAAGAAGAGCGCCTCAGCCTGCCACAGGCCACGTCAGGACTGGCCCCTTTGCAGTGTTTTTAAACCACTTAAATGGCATCGGCGTCCTCATGCCAGCCACAAGGACAATATCAGATCTCGTTCGGCCCTCAGATTACATAGATTCCCAACATTCAATAGGCAAAGTGTGATAGGTGCCAGGCTGGGGATGTGGAATTCATAGTTTCAGACATGTTAGATGCAGGCTGAGAAAGGAATAGCTGAAAGGGGGAGAGAGAAAATGTGGGGGAAATAGGGCCTGATCTAATAGCAGAAGTGTTCCTTCCGATTAATAAGTGAAGACTCCCCCCCATCTTGGCAAACCGTATGAGTTACAAATAAAATGACTGAAAACAACAGCACAAAACAAGGAAGAGCTGAAAGGGGGAGAGAGAAAATGTGGGGGAAATAGGGCCTGATCTAATAGCAGAAGTGTTCCTTTCGACTAATAAGTGAAGATTCCCCCCATCTTGGCAAACCATATGAGTTACAAATAAAATTACTGAAAACAACACCACAAAACTGGTCTCCCATTTTCTCTTGGGCATGGGAAAATGGAAACAAAGCTTCTCCTCTAGTTGCCTGCCCTGTGCATCGTGAAGAGAGTATTCCCTGAATAATTTAGGTTATATATTTTACAGCTCTCAGTGGGATCCAAATCAAGTTAGGGCAGTACATTACCTTATGGTGGTTTCCACATGGAGAGACGCTTGTGTGGCATTCTCATTGCTGGGGCAGTTGCAGATAAAGTTCAGTGGCAACCGGGCTTCCACAGCAGGGTCCCCTGCAAATTCCCTGTCCCAGTCCCCAGCAGTGGCTAGCCTCCCCTCCCGCCCCTACTGGATCACCTGGACTCTTGATTTTAAAAAAAATATCAGCACTGGAATATGGTATGCTGTTGTAACAGGTGTAACAGATTCCATTAATTCCCAGCTTTCATGTAAAAAATAAGTCTAGCCCTTTCACTGGCAAATACCTTTGCAAGGGAAGAGGCTAGAGACTTACTGCTTTACATAATTTACAGAAGCTGTTGCACCTATTGTTACAATGGCATACAATAGTCTAATGCCGATTGTTTAAAAAACAGAAAAGTCCACCAGTGGTGGGGGAATGAAATGGCTGTCGTGGGGACAGGGAAAAGGGTTGTTATGCGCATGAGAATATCCAAATTTTTACACCCACACAGCAGCCCTCCAGGCCTTACTGAGATCTTTACCGAAACTTATGAACAAAACAAGTTTGAGAAACACTGGAGAAAAGCCAGGGAAACCTGGGAGGTGCACAAACACATCACAGTGCTGTGGGGAAGCAGGGGGAAAATCCCTGCTTCCAACAGCATTGAACCCAGGGCGGATAAACCCATGGGGAGATGGCCCTGTCACTTATTTCCCCAGTCTGCAAACATTCACACATAATCCCCTTACCGTTCAATAAAGGCTCTTGAGAAAAAGTGGTTTGTTCAGCGTTTTGAGCAGACTGTAATTTACACTGGAGTGGAGTCTGTGTACTTGCTGTAGAGAAGTTCTGATTATATCCTGCGGGATGTGGGGAGTTCTCTTTTATATCCTGCTCTCTGCGAGGTGGCAGAGGTGCATTCACTTTGAATACCTGTAACAAGAGTAGATAATGATGGAAACAGTGCCTACATTCTTCAAAGTACAGCTGCTATGGATCACGAGCTTTTGGCCGCAGTGCGTTGTTCCAGTTTGCTCTGTTTACAGAGCAGAATATTTCTCCCTGACCAAATCCACTTCTGCTATAACAACCCATACCGTCCCAGTCAATCCACTGTCTAGCCACATGACATCACTCTGCCAGCAACACATAATCAACTTCCGGCTGGGCTAAAAAAATGTTGAGATTCACTGGGTGTTTAGACAGAGCTGTAGAACAACAGCCCAATTCAATGTGTGATCTGGAAAAAAGAAAAGCTACTATATGCACAGGAACTTGAAGGGTTATTCAGAGATTTCCTCTCTGGAGAACTTCTAATATGTACATTTACATCAGTGAGACTGGCAGAATTTTTCCCAGAACACCCATTCCCTATATCTGGAGAGATCTGCCCATCATGCAGAGTGCAGTCTGCCGTCTGCCAGAGACAGCACACGGCAGCTGTTGTGGCTGATAGATTCTACCCTCCCATCTAATTTTATTTGCTTATAGATTCTGCCCTCCCATCTAATTTTATTTGCTTACTTGGCGGGCTGATTTATACTGGTGGGCTGATTTATACTTACTGTCTGCATAGCCTGGAAGGGAGCTGCTTTCACATTAACAGAACTGCTACTTGCTGGAGGAGACGGGAAAGCTTTTGCTTGGGGCACTGGTGACATGGTCGCAGTCGACTGTGTCAACGGTATCTGCGATTCACTTAAAAGAGGAACAGGTGCCTTAAAGGAACAGAACAGTGACCGTCATTTAGGTTGCAAGCAATTTAAGTTGTTAAACCCTACACTGGCAAACGCCAGCAGTTTCTGCAGCTGGGCATAGCAAAGAATAGAATAGCTGCTGCCTACAGTTTGAATTTTGCTGTGCATCATTATTTCTACCGTTCTCTGCTGACTATGTCAAAACGTGTTTGAGTTAGACCCACACTGCTCTTCAAATCTTTCTGTGCAAAAGGTAATATGAGTAGACTTCCTTATGGAGCTCGACTCTGGTGTCACAGTAAAGCTCGATCTCAATGTTTAAATACTGTACTACACCAAGTGTTTCTCCATCTCAGAAAAACCTACATATTCATCACATTGTCTACAGTCCTTCCCCAGTGAACTAATTCTATTATTAATATTTAGGAGCAGTTACTCGAGTGACCTTTATTACGTAACAGTTTACTAGGAATGTACAAAAATATAATAGATTTTTTACCAAGAATAAAAAATGTCGACCTTTTTACACAGTTTTTCAGATCTATAGTGTTCCACTCACCGGTGCAGTTTCAATTTTTTTTGGCATTAAGGGCTCAGAAATTCGTTGGCTTGCTTGATACAAAGACTGAGGTGAACTGAAGTTCTCGGATTCTTGAGAAAGTGGGACAGATGCCTGGAGACACAGCAGAGTGAAGTTACTAGCTTTTTAATCAAAAGATTTTAAATAGGACCTGCAAGAACACAGCCAAGCTAAAAATATGGTTTCGCAAAGTGCTTTTACAGGGAAGTGAATCTTGGGAACTGATCTAGCAGCTGCAGGAGATGAAAGATGAGCTTCTGTTTCAGTTACTGAAGTCTGGACTTGGCCAGAGCCAAAGGGCTTTTGGCTGTTAGCCTACGGCTTCAGCCTGCGGCCCTGAGTAAGCCAGCCCAGGTAGATTCCAGAATTGCCCTAGAGTTAAATGTTCTGTTGACTGCATAAATATCATTTATATTTTTTGGAAGCCTTTTGGGTCAAGTCCCTGGTAGGGCAAAAACCAAAATCAAGTTCGTAGTACTATCGTCTTGTTACCAGCCCAAAGACACAGTACCGATGCAAGGTAGTATGAGAGCAATTTAAGTACTATCTATCCTTAGCATGCCTTAAAGGCAACAGGCTGCAGTCACAGGAAAGTTGCCATATCTACATCAGGGGTGCCAAACTTACAGCCCATGGGCCAGAATCGGCCCGCCCAGGGCTTTAACCTGGCTGCGGCTCTCTTCTCCCCCCTCCCCCACCTGTCCTCACCCTTCCGAGCTCAAGCACGAGCTGCTGCAGAGCACAGGAAGCACAGGGTGAGGCCGCCAAACTTCCCAACTCCTCTTCCTGGCAGAAGCTCCTCCGGAATGCACTGCAACACAAAAAAAGTTGCAAAGAAAATGTGGAATGGATTTTCCATTCCCAGACTAGTCTATCTGGCCCTAGAGACCTTAATGGAAAATCCATTTGGCATTTTCTTCGCAACTTTTTTTGTTCTGCAATGTATTTCAATGGAGCCCATGCAAATCAGTTGGCATTCTTGACTCCCATTACCTCCAAAGGGCCTTCAAGTGTCTCCCACCTGAGACCCTGCCTGGAGAGCCACTGTCACTGAGAGTAGACTGGGGAGGCAGGGAGAAAGCTTGCAATGCCCACCCATGCGTGGGATAGGGCGGGGTATAAAATAAATACTAAAAATAATAATTTCATATTTTCCTAGGCTCAGAACATTTAATATTTTTAGTCTATATTTTCAGTTTCTCCTGTGATTCCTTGTGCTTTTTTTGGGGGGGATGTTTTATTTAAAAAAAAAAATTGCATTGCCAAATCCCACTATTCCCCCACCTTTCCATTTTAGGCAGGCATCTTTTACCGGGGGGGGGGAGGTTTGGGAGGTGTCAGATATCAAAGACTGTTAAATAAATGAAATATCACAAGTGTTACCATTTTAAGCATGTTTGTATTTTAAGTTAAAAATAATACCTTTAATTGTATTTGTGTCCTTTATAAAGTTTATATCTCCGCTACCTGGCATTACATTTTATGACACACATGGCCCAGCCCAACAAAGTCCCATTTATGTCAAATCCGGCTCTCATAACAAATGAGTTTGAAACCCCTGATCTACATGATGCATGAAAAACTACAATTGCAGCTCTGCCAGCCTATCCAAAACTGCAATTCATTCATATTCCAAAACTATCAGTTTTCCCACATCATAGATTAACGGAAATAATGGATTTCAGTTCCCCATACAGTACAGCATAGATACACTTGTCAGCTCATGTACCAATTACAAAAAAAAATCCAGTTGAAATGTTGACTCCTGAAACTATTTCAACAGTTACATTCCATGACACTCAAAAATAAGAGGAAGAAGGTTAGATAATATAGGACAGTAAGCAAAGTTGGAATTCAGAAATTAGATGAGGCAAAGTTGAATCTAAGCTGCTCTCCTATGGAGCAGAAAAAGAATTGAGGGGGTGGGTGACTCCCACACAGGAGACAGGAAGTGAGAAGAAGTGCCTCCCTGATAATAGGATGGTGGGAATCACCCACCAAGATGTCCTCGGCCTCAGAGGGAGAAGCTCACGCCACCGAGTTGGTAATATTACTTCACAGGAATGTTGAGGATAAAATGAGGAGCAAGAACAGCAATCCAAGCTCCTTAGAGGAAGGATAGAGTAGTGAAACTCCCCCCTCCAATCCTCTTCCCGCCAGACTCTTCCCAGCACAGTAAACGTCTGGAAACCCAGCATGGGGGTGGGGAAGATAGAAGAAGAATCACTTGAGTATCTCCACTGTTTTGCAGCTTTCAACTACGACTCCTGACTCAACTGCTACTGAAGATCTAGTTGTAGGGACTTAGCTGTAGGTCATCTCCCGTTCAAGGAGACCAAACAGCAGGTGTTGGGGAAAGACTCTTACCAGGGACCCTGCCAGTCACAGCAGACATCGCTGAGCTAAGACTGACTCAATGGTCTGACACCTGAAGGTAGAGTCATACATCCAGCCTCAAGGGAAGGATCGGAATGGCTTTGCCTTACCTGCGGACTCTCTGGCGTTCCAAGTTCAAGTTTGGTTTCAAGTCCAGACCCAGAGGCTGTGTTGTCAGAAGCTAAGGAAGTGCTTGAGTCCTGCAAGGTCACAGGAGAAGCAACAGCCTGACAATTGGAAAAGGTTTATATGAGAAGTTTGCTAGCAGTAAGTCCTGAAAAGGTTACAGTATGAAAGTTCGCTTTTCAGTTTACTACCAGGAAGTGTTTGAGTCCTGCAAGGTCACAGGAGAAGCAACAGCCTGACAATTGGAAAAGGTTTATATGAGAAGTTTGCTAGCAGTAAGTCCTGAAAAGGTTACAGTATGAAAGTTCGCTTTTCAGTTTACTACCAGGTACTCTCGTCTCACCTATAAGCAGAAGTGGTAAGATTTTAAAGGGAGAATTCCTGTAGCTTAAAACTGAAGGAACTGGAGTCCAGTTCACTTCAGAAGTCCTGAATTCACTCTCTGGGCCAAACGACATAATGGCCTGATTCCAATCATGCAGTTACAATTCAAGGGTGCTACATTTTCCTGAAGAGGAGGTGACAACTTACATTAACTTCCCCTATACTGTTCTATTCAATCGATTAATGCTCACAGACCAATTGGTCATAAGCAAATAAAGAAAAGATGCAAAATACATAAACAGTATTTACATTACAGAACACCATTAAATGTCATAGATTTTAAAAATTACCACTGCAAGAGTCACAGGAGGGTTAACGTTAGTTAAAAAATCCCCCCTCTACCTGTGTCCCCACAGTTTGCTTGGGGGATGGGGTCACCAGACACTCAGGAACAAGTTAGGGGCAAAGCAGCAGGCCATCACTGGAAGGAGGAATTGGCAGAAACTTCCACCCCCTTAAGAAAACTCAAGTAGATACAGCTACTTTTTAACATTAGAAGGAAGACATTATTAGGTTTTCCTTTACTATGTCATCTGACCATCAGACAGGATGTTACAATGATTGGGAGACAAACCAGTTTGGAGTTGACAGTTTCCTCCTCTCACCAACTTAAAGCAGAGTTGCTTTTATCAATGTATTAAAATCTTTCTTACACACTATGAACATTCTACAGAGTCCAAGAACCTTTTCCACTTCTTCAGAGCAATGAACTCTGACTATAGCAACCTTTTCTTGACACCAAGGTTTGGGGGTGGGGGGATCACAACAAGAACACCGAGTCATGCAGCCTTCAACTGTATGTTAATAAGGCATCAGGGGCCAGGAGAGATTCCATACTGGAGGGGCTTCTACACTGGACCAAAAATGTAACTGCATGCTAAAGGTAAAGAATACAGGTTTAAGACTTGCATCAGGGGACAGCTTAGGAGCCAAAGCTTGATGTAATCACATGTCTTATACAATTAATGTTGACCAGAAGCCAAAAGATAACTGATTGCTTTAGATAAGTCTCAAGGTTTGCGCCCTTTGTTAGGATTTAACTTCTCTTATCTCACTATCTTGCTTTGTAGCCATTTAAAGGCATCCTTCCTGCTATCTTGAGAAATGTTAGCTGCCCGTGTATGACAAAAGTGCTTTATTCTTACCTGCACTGGTTGTTCAGGGAAATCATTTTGACTTGAAAGTTTTTGATCTTTACAGGCTACAAGACAGCAGAGAAAGAGAGGAAGAGAAAGAGAGCTGTGTCACACTTTCCAAGTAATTTAAGAGCTGTTTGCGTTGGAATATACTATAATATTGTATGCTTGTCTTTAAATAACGGATAAGTAAGAATGCAGACATGAAGCCTCACATTTAGAACAGTCCAATCCTAAACAGGACTACTCAGAATCTGACTGGAATCTGCTGAATGGGGCTGACTCCTAGGAAAGCGTTCTTAGGATTGCAATGTTGGTCCTTGGTTTAGATGCAACTAGCTACCCAAAAATCAGAACGAAGTTTCAAAAATATTTAAATGAAGGCTAATGCTTCTAAGATAGAGACATTTCCATTCGTTTTTATGAATAGGCATTAGGCATTACTCTAGGCATTACTCTAATACAAAACAAGAAAAGTCACAGATTCAATTCTTTTAAAGCTATACTAGTATGTATTTTTTGAAGTAGTGTTTTAATTTAAGGTACCAAAATAGTACATTTTGATGAGTTTACTGAACGATTTTTTCCAAATTATAATACTTAATTTAAACACTACTAAAAGCTTTATACAATCCAAACTCATATGACAATCAGTTTTCCTGAGCTACACTGTTAAGCATAGTCTTAATTTTTTTTGTCAAGTAAAATGAAAGCTAATCTTTGTACATGCGCCTCTAAGGCAATTCACCATCAAAAATGGCAGACGTGAAAGTGCATCTTCAAATACGTGCTACTTTTAAATAGCTCAACTTTTAAATAGCTAATTTCTCCAAATAACTTTCTTTTTCTAGTATGAGAGAATCCCAGTGCAGAAGAGAGCCTTCACTTAACGCTTGTATACTTAAACGGGGCGAGGGGGGAAAGATATGTCGTTTGCCATTTTATTTTTTGGGTTTAACTGAAAATGTTTTTAACTATTATTGTTAAGTCACCTTGAACCACTAGAAAAGGTGGGATATAAATGCTTAAATGAACAAACGAATGTGAGGTTTGTAGAACTAGCAACGCACACCAGTATAAACCTGTCACCACTTACTACCTACCACTAGGATTGCCCGCAGAATCAATTGGAGGCGCTTGTGATGAACACGCAGCACTTTGTGAGGGTTTATCAAAATCCAGGAGAGACTCCTTGAAGAAAAAATGTTTACCAAAATCATGAAAATAAGCAAGAACGTATATTCAGAGGTCAGCAATAAGTGGAACAATTTAGGGAAAGTCAACTACAGTAGAGTGCAAATTTCAGAGTCGCTTTTAAAATCCTGGAACTTGAGCAATTTTCCGCTTTACACTTATGCTCAGTTAGGCTTCAGATCTGCACTCTTGAATGCCTCTAGTGTTAAGCAAAGGGAACTTACTTGCATGAAATTGTAGGTCCCTTGTATTTGAGTCATCAGATCCTGTAGTTTTTCCCTTCTTAGTACTGGATCCTTTGGAAGACTAGAAGTAGAGCAGAATTCAGCAGCTGGTTGGTGCACAGGCTTTGGCACCTAATTGAATGAAAAATGAAGTAATAAAGGAAAAGTCTAAAAGTCTTCCAGCAGCACACATTTACCAAGGTGGTGTTCCACATATTAAGCAGTACCAGGGTCAAACTGTAGCAGATATTCTTTACCTCCACCTCAAAATACCTCATGTTTCACCCATTCAAGTATAAGAAAGTTCAAGTCCAGTGGCATCTTTAAGACCAACAAAGTTTTATTCAAGGCTGTTGGTCTTAAAGGTGCCACTGGACTCACACTTTGTTCCACGGCTACTCACCTGGATCTCTGTTCAAATATACAAAGCCAAGTAAAACACTATCAGGTTTCACTGTCCAGACCTTGAAATGCACAGAGGTCCTCTCTACTAGACACACTCCAGTTGAAGTGGCTTCTTTAAACAAGCAAGAAGTCAGACATTACTAATTTTAGAAGCATGCTTTGGAAACACTACCCTCCAAAACGGCTATATTCTTAACAGATCCACTTGCCCATTTTATACACCCCCTGCTTCCCCAGAGAACCAGAATGCAAATAACTGCAACCAGCTCCAGGGAGCATAGCTTTCCTTGTGACACCAAAAAAACTGAAATAGCCCATCAGCACAGAAAGGTCCAGTGTAGTTTCTAGTGAAACTGAGCTAGCAGAATCTAAAGTATTGGCATGCTGAAATGCAATTCAGCACATCAGTCCCATCTGGCAGTCTTCATTTAGCAGGAATACTCAAGGAGGATTATTTGACAGGAAGATGTACACAATACACTATTTTTCACTTCCGCACCAAAGCTACAGAGCTGACGAGTAACTGAGATTCCAGATACACACCCCCTCCCTTGCCTCCCTGCATTCTGAATATTGTTCCAGATATCCTCCTCTTCATGCAGAAAGTTTGGAGGAGAGCCATGAACCTTCATCCCTGCTGTTCCTAAGTACTGCAGACACTAAGTGCCCTCGAATCTTGCCTGCTGCAGCTTCTTCCACCTTATGTGGCATGTGAGAAACACTGGTGTCCCTTTGGAAATGCACACTAAACAAAGCCGCCATTACATGAGCAGCAAGCTTCATTTCAACCCATGCCAGTCTTCAGATGGCCACAGGAAGCTGCCTTTTACAGATCACTGGTTCCTATACCTTTGTTCCATCACCTCTGACAGGCAACCACACTCCAAAATCTTGATGAGAAAGCTTTCTCCTGCAGCTGCTACCAAACCTTTGAACTGAACCTACAACATTTTGTATGCAAAGCATCTACTCAACTAAGCCAAAGCCCCAGTTTTCTGAAGTCATACCAAAGGAAGTATTCAGAAGCCAGTGATCTTTTGGATCCTTTAGAAGTGATCAGAGAACACTGATGGAAGGATTTGTTTAAAATTGGTCATGTGTGTGATTTTGGTCACACTATAACGACAGTACTGAATTGATGCCCATTTACCAGAAGTCAATACCCAGATTTACTGATTCTACCCTTACTTCTATGATTTGCTAGATTTGCAACAGGCACTCGTTCTTTCAGAGTCAGAAATAATTTAAAAGAGCAATTGTTTGTGGAGTTCCCCTCATAAGAACTGGTCTTTAATTACAGCAATTCGTTTTTCAATTTACTGCCCCCCCCCATATTCTCCCCAGCATGCACAAACCAATGTATGTTTAAGCATCTTGTTGTTTCCACTCTAACACTGGCTTTTCTTGTAAATATTTCTTAAAAGAAACTGAAAGGGACTGAAAGGGACAACTGCTTCAAGTTATACATGATGTATATTCTTAAGTGTAGTAATATTACTTTGCATACTGAAAATACTTGCGGAATGTTTTTCCTTCTGGAAATGTTTTTCTTTCATGGCTCCAAAATCTTTGGAAATTGTCTATTCAGAATTCAAGGCCTCTTTGCCAAGGACACTCCAAAATCATACAGTAATATACAGTGCTACCACCTCAGATAATCCAGCAAAGCACTTGCTTTTAAAGTAGCAGTCAGTTCACAGAAGTCAGATCTATTGAGACTCAAGATAAAACCCAAGGCTGACCTGCAACTTTTAAGTGAGATGTAGGTTTAACTTGAAAGTTTGGTGTTGAGAGCCAGTCTGGTGTAGTGGTTAAGTGTGCAGACTCTAATCTGGGAGAACCGGGTTTGATTCCCCACTCCTCCACTTGCAGCTGCGGGATGACCTTGGGCAAGCCATAGTTCTGACAAGAGCTGTCCTTGAAAGGGCAGTTCTTGAAAGAGCGCTCTCAGCTCCACCTACCTCACAGGGTGTCTGTTGTGGGGAGGGGAAGGGAAAGGAGTGTGTAAGCCGCTCTGAGACTCCAAGTGAAGGGCAGCGTATAAATCCAATCTCCTCTTCTTCTCTTCTTGAAAGCGCCAGGGAGTCAGAGGGAAGGCAGCTGAACCATGACCTCTTTCAGCATGGAAGTTCTCTGCAGCTCACACACACACACACACACACACACACTTGGTGCTTTTCTCCCAGCTGGGCTCAAAACTCACTGCCACAAGATATGGTAATAGCCACATCACAGATAGGTTTTTTTAAAAAGAGGATAGGGAGATTTAGAGAGACTATGTCTACCACTGGCTGTTAGACATGATAGCAGAGCAAAGAGCCCAGGTTCAGAGGCAAAATTGCCTCTGATGAACTGAGGGTGGTCTGCAGGTAGGTCGTGAGGGGTTGTGGCATCTGACTGTCCACAATTGGAAAGTGGGTGCCAGTGAGAACGACCATAGACTTGATCTAGCACAGCTACTCTTATATAAATTCCAGAAAGCCAGGCTATGAGAAAAACAACGGAAGGGCCTGACTCCCACCTACACAACTCTTGGAGCCCTTCCAAATTCAGTTCCCCCACTTTGTAAAAAGATCTCTCCCATTTGTGTGCAAAGACGTGCACTAGGGCCAACTAAAGTTTATTAGTAGCCAGGAACAAGTCCAGTAACAATTTATCCCACAGCACAGCAGTGAGCCATCTTTTAACTGTAAAGAGTCACTATACCAACCCTATTTCATTTTTACAGGTTTTGGTCTTCCTCATCCATTTGAAATACTGGTTACATGACTGGTTACATGCATTATACACTCAACTGCATGCAGTATTAACCAAACCCTCGGCTATATAAGGCAGCGGAAAAAGATGGCAATCTGTGATTTCATTACTATATGGAGGACTTCAGAATTACACCTCCTTGAAAAGCATTCATACCCACCAAGAAATTCATACCCTAATACCCGACCTGGATAGCTCAGGCTAGCCCAATCTTGTCAGAAGGTTGGCCCCTGGCTAGTATTTGGATGGGAGACCACCAAAGAACACCAGGGTTGTGACATGGAGGCGAGCAATGGCAAACCACCTCTGAATGCCTCTTGCCTTGAAAGCCCTCTGGGGCGGACACAGTCAGCTGCGACTTGGCAACACTTTCCACCACCACCAATAACATGCAGTGAGAGGAAAGCATTCTGCACATGCCTAAAGTATTTGTAGTCTTGGCATTCAGGGCAGGACTTGGCTCGAAATAAATTTTAAATCCTCCTAAAATACTTTATTTTTCTGTACTGCTTAAGATGGCTTGCATACTATGCCCTCTCAAACCTCCTGCAGGGAAGTACGTTTCTAATAATGAGAGATTAAGAGATTCTCAGATTTCGGGGTAACCGAGGACAGGAGATGGATAGCACTTATTCACTGATGAGTAGAAGATATTCTGCTTAGGGATTGGCACGAACCCACACACAAACTTTATGACAAATTTTGGCCAGTTTGTGCTTTGCAACGTCAGATTTGTGGCAGGAAAACTGACAAGAAGTTTACACGAACTTTCCAGCTGTTCATGGATGTTCGTGCTGGTTCGTGAGCGGATACATTCCCACTGAGTAGAGTGTCTCCACTCAGTCAAAATGTTTACAAGACTTCAAAGCAACAACTCAAGAGGGCACGTAGAGAAGCCCTCTGACAGGCGCAGGTTCAGGAGTGTACAGAACGGATCCTGTGCAAGCTAGAGACACCAAACTCACAGGACCTAACCCAGATGCTCCTCTACATGCTCTCCAAGTTTGGTGGGGCACATTCTTTCACACAGGCAGGCTGAATCAAGTTGGCTTGCAATTAATGTAAGGCAGGCCAAGTCAGACTGGGTATTTTTCTGCTCATTTTCACCCTTTACGGCCCCACTTATTTCCAGAAGCAAGTTCACTTCAAACAGAGGCAACAACCCCAAAAAACTAAGAACATGAACTTCAAATTTTCTGCCTAGTACTCAGTTGTTGATGCAGATGTTAGACCAAACAAAGAAAGAAAGATACCAGACAGAAAAGGTGATGCAACAGAGCAGATGAGAATGAATTTGCTTAATAAAGGATTAACTGACTGAACTCCAGCCTTCTTGTAGCTTTCCCTCCCTTATTCCTTTCCAAGGCTCTTTTTTTTTTAAGCTAGGAATTCAGAAATGGGGACACAGCACATTTCTAAGGGGGCACTGACCCGGTATGCCTCCTGTAGATACAGGCCTGGTTTCATGTTTAGCTGATCAACAGTTGCATTACTATTTAGCCAAGAAAAAAAGTCATTGACGATTTTCAGTAAAGCCCAGATACAACAGGAGTACAAGTTTAACAGTAAACACATAATTGCCTAGAAATACAGGATGTAATGGGTCAGATAACACATTATACCTTTCGCCATTAATTTAGCTGACTGCAACTGATTAAAGACACCTGCATTAATATTTTTAAAGTTCATCTATTGGTCAAACAAATATGTGCAAGAGACATTCTGGTTCATACAGAGGAAGCATGCAACCTCATGCAATTCCACTGCTTCACAATACACACTGATAATCAAGTGGACAGCTCCAGATGAGCTGTAGAGAGGCATGAATGTACCAAGATCTGTCATGTAGATCACTGCAACCAGATATAGTTCAGTTAGAGGAACAAAAAATACCAGTTCACACATGAACAACCGCTACCAGGATTTTATGAAGGACTTCATCCCCCACCCCCGCCGAAATTAGGTTATGCCTAGACAAAAGATCATCTAGAAATTACATGGAACTCAACTGAACAACTGTCTCATCAGATCCTGACAATTTCAAAGAAGCTAGATAGATGGGCTCTGTTCAAGCTGTGAGTCAGTATGACTCTGGGGTAGTACTTTATTCCTGCACTGAGCAAAAGTAGTTCCGACACCCTTTAAAACAGGAGTGTCAAACTCATTTGTTATGAGGGCCGGATCTGACATAAATGAAACCTTGTTGGGCTGGGCCATGTGTGTCATAAAATGTAATGCCGGTAAGCAGAGATATAAAGTTTATAAAGGACACATACATAAAAGGGTTTTTAACTTAAAATAAAAACATGCCTAAAACATTAGCACTCTCGCAATATTTTGTTTATTTAACAGTGACACCTCTTGCTCTGAATTATTGTATCAAAATGTCTGTGCTGTTGCAATCTTGAGTATGCTGTTCAGGTGTGCATCTGTAAGCTGCAAACCTACAATGATGCAGCGGCACTGAAAGAAGAAGCACAAGACAGCCAGTTCCACTGCAGGCCTGATAGAAGCCCTCTGGGGTCCTGATCTGGCCCCCGGGCCGCATGTTTGACACCCCTGCTTTAAAACTTTAAGTACCTCCCCTTAAGCTCAAAGTCCATCTACTGCAACCTACATACAAGAGCAATTAAGATTTCTATGGAAATATAAGATTGGGACAGACATAATTCAATTGCAAGATACTGATTACATATGAGCCTACTTTATGCAGTCAGACAACTGACTATGACTGGCACCATCTCTCCAGGGTCACTCTTGAATGTCTTTCATGTCACCTACTACCTGATCCTTTCAATTGGAGATGCTGGTGATTAAGCCTGGACCGTTCTGTGTGCAAAACAGATGTCCAGCCACTGAGCCACAGCCCCTCTATTAGTAGGGGACTGACTTCTAAGCATATGCACAAGTCACCCAGCCCTTCAAAGCATGACAAGTCTGGCATGACAGGTCATTCAAATTGCAGCAAATGTTTTAAAATTAACATTTTTGACCATCAGCGTTTGCTATATTGCTTGTTCCACAACTCTGCTTTCTATCCCCTAAGGATCAAAATACTTTCTCCAGTACCATAAAGTAGTTTAAAATGACCAGAGTATACAATATTTCTCTATAGGGTTTTTTCAACTGGATACTTAGGTCACCCATGCAACTTGAGGAAGGCAGCAGCTTAAACATAGTTCAAACCACCAGCAAACAAAAGGAAATGAATTTTGAAATCAATGCCTAGGTTATCGTTACCACAATATCACAGCCTTCAAAAGGCAGCTGAAGCTCACACTCTGTTTTGTGACGCTGTTTGCCCTCTCTGAAGGGGGGGGGGGTCTCAAGGAGAATACAGAAACTATTCCAGCAGCTTCGATTCAGATTAAATGTTCTAAAACATTTACTGATTGCTTCAGTATAACCTGACTAGCACACCTGCATGATGCTCGGAAAGCTCCTAGGTAGTTTACAGGATTCCCCAACTGACTGAAGGCTCTCTTTTTTCCTTACAGCATCAATGCCTTGTCCACTTAATCCATCTGTTTTTCCATCCTACATAAAACAAGAATTCCATTCATTAGAACATGACTCCAGTGAGCCTGGGAAGCCAAAATTCACCCAAAGTGCCAGGGCTAATGCAGGTATTCGTATTCTGGAGTGAAAAACGCCCAGACATTCCTTACTGGCTAGATAAGGCCCGTCACCAGTGGAAAAATTGTGCTACTTTTTAGGCAAATATACCAGTGGAGAGCTGCAGAAGTGCCACCCATTTTGCTTACTTTGGATGACTTCGTCACCACCCAGTGATATTTTACTTTACCCACTTGGTTCATGTCGCATTCAGGCTTCTGTTTGCGTTCTCGTCTCTAAGGGAAATATTGGAGGGAAAAGGAATACTTTACCAGATTACATGTAGAGACTAGGCATACCAAGAGATCCAACCTCTGCCACTGCATGTTGCTACATCTGCAGCTTGTCTACCCAGTCCTAGATGCTGTGGAGAGGCATTCGGCTGAGGTATGAGCAACACTAGCTTCCGGGGGGGGGGGGGGAATAAACTCAATGTAATGCTTGGGACTCAGACCCAACCATTATTGGTGAAGTTTGCTTGATGAATCATAGGACGTTAAACAGCAAAAAAAAAAAAGATCTCATATACAAAAACTAGAACTGCCCCAAATTTGAAGGTGCATTCTAAGCAACTGAGTATTTTCCATCAGTGAAGTCAGGACTGGAAGACCTTAGTTAAGAGGTGGCTACCCTCCCTCCATGACTTCTCAAGCACCTCCGTATTATAGCAGTCTAGCTCCTCTCTGTTTTCCCATCTCTCGTCTTCACTCTAAGTACGTAATAGTTTGCCTACTGCGGTACCTGGCTGGATTGGGGGGAAATACCTGCCAACTGGAGGTCCCCCAATTTGGTTTTCAAAATCTAGTTGTCATTGTCTCAGACTAACCAGTGACACTGAACTCTGCTCACCCACCCTCCAAATACGGTGTTGTTAAAAAAAGACCCTGAACAAAGTTCTGATAACTGGCAGCCGTTTATATACCCTTATAAGCTGGAAGTCCTGGGGTTTATTAGTGCAGAACCAGAGCTGATCAGTTAACTTTGCAACCTTATTTTCAGTCTGATAGTGGATGCCCATCTCCCCCTTGATAATGCCTTCACTGTCTCCCATTGTTCAATGCTGGATGAGTCATGCCTTTGGGGAGGAAAAGCAGCATAATATGCTTAAAATAAATCAATAAAAACTGGGAGAATTGCCTGTGTACGTAGGCTGCTCTAGCACTGCAGGTTTTCATAAAAATACTACTGCTTATACCCACTCACTTCTTTGGGCTCCAAATCAGGCTTTTTTGGCCCAAACCGCTCCTTTGGCACAAGACTGGCGGCTGCCCAGCTCTTTGGAGGAGTCTGTAAAGGCTGTGATCGCTGGGGTCCCTCAGGGGTGACCCAAGTCTTCGAAGACTGTGTCTTGGGTTCCATCTCCTCCCCAATGTGTGCTACCCAGGGTTTTCCAGGGTTCTGTCTCTTTGGCTCCACCTCTTCTCTAATGCACGCACCCCAAGGCTTCACAGGCTCCGGCTTCGGTGCAGTTTCCTCCCTTGTCTGACCAACCCAAGTTTTTGTCAGCTCCTGCTTTTGCTCTGGCTCCTCTTTAACTTTGCTCACCCAGTGCTTTGGAGGGTCTTGCTGATCCCTAACCCGTGCTACCCAAGGCTTTGGAACCTCTTGCTTGTGATCTTCCTCTTTAACTTCCCAAGGTCTTGAAAGTTCTTGCTTCTTCGCCTGCTGCCTCAGGGACTCCAGAGGCTTCAGAGATTCTTGTTTCTGCTTCTTCTGCTCCTGTTCTTCCATGTCAACAAGCGTTTCCCAGGTCCTGGGAGGGTCTTTCTTTTTACTGTGTTCCATTTCCCAGGGTTTTGGTTCTTCAGGCTTCTTGGAAGAGTACTCCGCTTCAGGCAAGTAGCGTCTATTGAGAAACTATACAGACCAAAGAAACTTAATTGCTCACAAGCAAAACCCCCACTTTAGTACAATCTGAGATAAATGTGCAGTCATGCCAGCTAAAGAAGTGTTCAGTCTTGGCAGTTCCCTGGGAAGCCAAGTGCAACCTATCAATAAAGAGTCATGCAAGTGTAGCCATGAAATGTTGCACTTCAAAAATACAGCTTTGCTCCTTGAATCATGCGCTTGCAAATTTACAACTACCTGCCTTCTACTGTCGTATTTTTGCAGCCTAGCCCTAGTTTAGATCACACTTACTGTCGCTGGCTGGGCTGGCAGCAATAGGAGCAGCAGCATTACCTGGCCACAGCTGACGAGAGTTTACTAAGCACGTGGACATATAAGACTGCTTTATACTGAATCAGACCATCAGCCTCTCAAAGTTGGTACTTTCTACTCAGACTGGCAGCGACTCTCCAAAGTCTCAGGCAGAGGTCTCTCACATCACCTCATCCTTTCGACTGGAGATGCCAGGGATCGAACCTGGGCCCTTCTGTATGCCAAGTAAATGTTCTACCACTGAGCCACGGCCCCTCCAAATCAGGAAACAGAGGCACTATGCAAGCTTTAGCATCACTCTGCTCTGCCCTTTTATCAATCAGAAAAGGCTCTTCCCTGTTCCCCAGCATATTTAAGGTTGCTGGCTGCTGTGGAGTCTATTTGGACAGCAACACAGAACATACATTTTGATTTCTAACACATTACCACACTCTGCTTTGTCCAGTGGACAGTGGGTGAGTATAAATGCTTTGAACACTGCCAATTCCTATTCTTTAGCCACAAATGGCAGGCATGACTGAGCTAAGCAGCAAGTAGATAAATACTACTGAAGCCTAACCACCAAGGAATGAACACAACAAAACACATTCTCCACCTTGCATTTGCAAAGATAACCAGGCAAATGAAATGGCTAGTTCACCTTCTTCCTGCCTACCAGTTCACCCTGGAGTTCCAGGGTAGAGGACTGAAGCCACAAGCACAGCACAGTGGGAACCAGGGCCAGGGCCAGCGTATCCTGCAATGGGACAGCTGCTGGGACCCCAGGGCTTTTAGCAGGGCCTACCACTTCTGCCACCAACTAGCATGCCCCTTGCCTTACTCACCTGCTTGCAAACCTTCCCACTGCCCACACTCCTAGCTGCACATCCTGCCCAGCACCAGTAGATAAAGGTCCATGGCAGTGCCGCTCTCAGCCACATGCCCTACCCATCGCTGCCATGCAAGGGCATGTGTCTGATGCAAGTAAAGGATAGATGGGCGGGCAGTGCGGGAGGTCACACAGGCTAGAAGGTGGTCTGCAGCTGACAAGGAAGGAGGTGGGCGGGCACTAGAACCACTGAACCAGCCCTGAGGGGAGGTTACACCACTCCCGTGGCATATGCCTGATCCAGGTTTTGCCTTTAAAAAGCCAGTGGGAGTTACGCCAGAGGACCTCACACTAAGGATCTGGTCTATGTATTTGAGTGGCAGGTAGGTGGCTGTAGGGAGGCTTCCTCTTTTCTTCACAGACTTGCAAGAGAAGCAACTGTCCAGCACACACCTCTCCATTAGACTAACGAGGAGAGAGGAGCAAGCCAAACGAAGATGTTTCCAGCATTCAGGGATTTTATGCATCCAAAGCAGCCTTAGGAGGCCGTAAACTAGAGCAGAGGCAGAGTGCTTAGTCTTTATCACACTCAAGGCCATCATCCCACCTCATTAAGTTGCTTTGACTCTGATCCCACCACCTTCTGCATCGCTCTTATATATGCATACTGGGCTTTTTCCAGATTCACAGACTTTTATGTTCTGAAATCCATGATGCTCAACGGGAAAAAAAATAGAATATGAATCTGTGATCTTCCAGAGACATTCTAATCAGAGAAAGTTATGCTAGAGTTTAAGGAAATATGTATTTTTATATCCCCCACCATCTAATACTGCAGGACACTATCATTTGCTATGTGACATAGTATTCAACAGTTAGATGCCACATAAGCAGCAGTATTACTTTCAGGTATTCAGTGTTAGAGAGATTTTCCAAGTTTTACAGAAGTCTTTATTTCTGTATGACAATGCTGGAGTCCACACATTGTTTAGCCCAGATAATAAAGACTTTCTTGTTCATTACAATCCTAATAGCGAGTTAGAAAACTAGGAATAAACTGAAAGTAGAAAGTAAAAAGTAAAGATTAAGATATGCTTATATGCCTCAGGAAGCAGAACTTGCAAGCTGCTGCACTTAACAGTGTCGTACAAGATATACCTTTAAGTTTCATGTAAACCAATCAGCTTTTATGCATCAAGTTACACATAGCATTAAATATATTATGTAGTAAATCAACCTCAGGTTTTCACAAGCAATGCATAAGTTTCATTTTCTCCACCAAAACTAGGAAAGTCTTCCATGGTTTCAGAAATTTATATTTTCCCTTGCTACAGTGAAAGGCCCTGAGTACACCTCTTTTCAGGGGTCGTTTTGTAGAAAAAGAGCTAGGGGAACTCATTAGCATAACTCATTAGCATATGCCACACCCCCTGACATCACCGGAAGTGTGTCATAAGGCCACACCCCTTGACATCACTGGAAGTGTGTCATAAAGCCACACACCCCACACCCAAGGTCCCGGGCGCAAGGAAGTGCAAGGCCGCAAGGAGTACAAGGAAGCCCCGCGAAGGCCCTCCCTGTCCCCAGGCAGGCAGGCAGGGGTGGGGAGAGGCAAGGAGGAAGCAACTTACCCTCCCTCTTCTCCTGCCTCTTCCTGGCTGAATGAGGGCCGGAAGCGGGGCGGCCGGAAGCAGGGGGCGGGGCTTCATCATGTGCCCCGCCCCCCATACCTCACCCGGGGGAACTGCGATCCCCCGTGATCCCCCCCGAAATGACCTCTGCCTCTTTTTACATTTATGACACTCACTTTCACACACATTACAAGAACACTCACACTCAGAACATGCATTCAGTCTGTTCCCAGTGATATATGGAATCTAGCTGTGCAGTGATATACGAAGTTAATCTAGCTGTCCCTTTGCCATTCACCAGTGTAGTGTGTCAGATCTACAGAACCTGTAGTTTTATATGTATGGATTTGCTATAGTTTCATTCTTACTTCCTTATAGCCTTTTCACTTCTTAGGTACCTCGTATGGTTTGACAAGGAATAATTGCTTCCAAGGAAACACTGAACATGATCACATCTGCAAAGACTGAGTGCCTGAAACCTATATTTTCTTCGAAGCCAAGAAGAAAGCACCCTCTCTGAAAGTCATAAATACTTGAAGTCACATTTATTAATTGCCTTTGCTGTAGTAATTAACTTTCCTGGGGGAGGGGGATCTTATACTACTGCAACATCTATAATTTCTGGATCACTACAGCAAGGTGACCAGCTGCACTAGTTAACACTACTTACTTTCCATCTATCGAACCAAGTCCTTTAGTAACTTACCTCTTGAGACTGTATCTCAGGCTGAGCACAATCCATTTGAAGTTCTAAGAAAAATAATACAGTAGTTTCAATTGAAGCATACACAAAGCTGAGACATGCCATAAACTCTTGAAAAAGTAAGTATTCCCAACAGTAGTACTAGACCAGATCTAAACATTCACAAATAAAACACACTACAGAGTTCGGTTTCATCCAGGTGACCTGGCCTTTCCAACCTTTAAATGCTTATCAGTACAATAAGAAGCCATGCACCTCTAACCTTTTGGCCTAGGACCAAGATTTTTAACAAAAAATGTCTGACTTTTGTTCAAGACTAGTAGTGGTTTAGTGGGGGAAAGCTGCAAGATACTACTAGTGAGAGGCATGTGAATACTCTAATCAGCTACTGTTCACTTAACAGTAGAATTTAGGTTACCTGGTTCTTTGACAGACTCTGGTTTTGATGGCTGTCTTGTTCTTTCAGGTCTTCTAGGCATTTCTTCTTTCAGTTCTTCTTTTTCCGGTACATTACAAGGAGCAGGGACGTTTTCAAAATAACCAGAATCTAGCAGCTTAGATAACAGATCCTTTAGGTGCTTATCTGAAGAAAAGGGACTGAATGTTAAGTATCATCAGTGGTTAAGGAGAGTTTAAAAGTTTTGTCCAAATGGCAACTAAAGCAATCATAGCCGATGCCTTCCCACCCAATCAGGAACACTCCAGCTGCCCTCTAGTAGGAGTGGCAGGAAGTAGAACAGAGTTGCCAGGTCCACTTGGGAGTTATACCACCTTAACCCAAGCCAGGAAGGATCAGAGCGACCCCAAAAGGATGGAAACACCCGTCAAAGTCACCTTTCTTGTTCCAGCAAGCTAACCTTCCTCATCTCATCTTTTAAACCAAGCTTCAGAGCAGAATTCATGACTTGTTTTCCTTGATGTACAGAACCCATGAGCAGCATTATGTATTGAATTCTGATAACTGAGAGCTACTTAGACAATTCCTTTGAAAAGTTCTTTAAAAAGTAGCAGCTAACAAACTGATATGTCTTCTGTGTTGGCATAGGGCATTTTGGAAAGGCCACCCAATTATGTACAGAACCCATGAGCAGCATTATGTACTGAATTTTGATAACTGAGACCTACTTAGACAATTCCTTTGAAAAGTTCTAAAAAAAAGTAACAGCTAACAAACTGATGTCTTCTGTGTTGGTACAGGGCATTTTGGAAAGGCCACCCAATATGTTTAAAATTTAAGCAAACACTATTTTCTAAGAGATTCAAGAGAAGAATAGTTCGCATGTTTTGACTAGAAACCACAAACTATAAATGTGAAGACAAGACAATATGAAGGGCATTAAAGAGTTGAAGTAGCTGTGTTAAGAATGCCCTGAAAAAGTCACACTTTTTTACTTCGAGCAGTATGATGTCTGATACCAAAATGGCAAATCCATAGAAAATATGAAGGTTTCTTTTATACAGACAGATACTTACAAGTTGTCCCAACCACTACTTTTTCATTGCCTTCCAGTAGGTCCCAGAAGTAGAGTGATGATTGTTCCATTTGGTCTTCAACACTTAAAAGCCAAAAACAGTGCCTTTTGAAACAGACTCCATTCCAGGTCAAGAACACACTTTAGACAGCTGATCCAATGTTACAGCAATGGCAAAGTACCATCAGCATCATTTTTCCTTGTAAAAATTGTCCAGAATCACTCCACCAATGAGTAGTACCATCCTGTATTTACTTACATTTCAGGCATGTATGCCAACTCCATTTTTAGGTTTTTGTAAGCTAATTAGATCCACCTTATTAGGTGTAACTCTATCACAACATTAGCCTTTACTTCATGGCGAACCTGAAAAGCAGGTGTGTTTAACTTGAAGTGTAATGGGTCAGACTGCCGGTAACTATAAAATATGCATATCTGCAAAACCAAATCCAAAGTAGACAGACATGCTTCACAGTACACGAACTGCTAAAAATTGTTCTCAGAGGAATGTTTTCAACAGGCAATTATTTTCAGAAAGAAGGAAAGACAGGCTAATGTTCCTGTGAACATTAGTTAAGCATATTGATGCAGGTTTATTGTTCTAACAAATTCTACTAATTTGGCAGCATTTTATGATAATATTTGTACTGTTCAGAGCTCCAAGCAGGCTTGTTTATCTTAAATCACCAAGGGGGGGGGGGAGTGGGCAGCTCCTCCTTGTCCTGCTGTCTCAAAGGAGACAGCATAAGTAGACAGACTGACCCTGCGTATCCTCACTTCTGGTGCTTGCTCAGTCCACAAGTGAGTAATAAAGTCGAAGCTCGCTTGTCTGCTCTGGCAAGAAACCAGCAGCTGCATGGAGTGAAGAGGATGCCCCAACACCAAGGACCTCTCGTCCAAAAGATCCCACCACCAAGCCTGAAGCTGGCAGAGTAACTCACAGTCTTCTGAAACCCCTCGTCACCCACCATACAGCTAAATACTAGAACGTGTCTCCTTCAAAGTTCAGCCAAAGCTACTCTGACTTACCTAAGGGTCTCGCTTCTTCCTGGACATGTCAGTTTTGCAAACTTAATGAGGTAGTCTAGTTCTTTAGAAGGCAAGCATATTGCACTGTTCAAGCCAGCTTTGAAGTCTTTCTGCACATGTTCTTGGGTGAAATTCTGCAGCACATACTGGACCTGCAGCACCGTGCGGAGCTTCTTCTTCTCTGCTTCAAGCTTCATTATATTCTCCCTTCTCTGAGCCTTCCTCTGTGCTTTCAGCAGCTGCAGCAGTACAAGAATAAGTTGCCTGAGATAGTCAAGTTCATGACATACATTTGATCTACTGACAAAGTGGGAAAAGCAGTAAGAGACACACTGTAATTTCAAAGAATATGTCATCTAATACGAAGGTGAACTATAAAGTATTTCTCAACTCTTTAGAGCTATACTCTTCTTTATGATCAGCTACTCATGCAGTTTTAAGAGCTGACAACCATTTGGCAAGTAGATCATATCAGGGTAGATCGCACCAAGAGAGGAGGAAAGAGGTGTGGGCTCCAGCATACATGAGAGAGAAGGAAAGCAATTCCACACCAGGAGCTCTAGCACTTTAAACAGAAGAGGACATCTAATCGAGATGAGCAAGTCCAAAACTAGCTTCACTACCCACATGCCTGAGAAGTCGAGACATTCTTGTTTTAGGGATTATCCTGGCAATAGCAAGGTAGCCTCTCCATCGTGTTCCCGTTCACATACACCGTGGCTATTTCAGGACCAACAATGAAGTTTACTTACATCTTGACTGAGCCCAGAAAATGTCTTCTGAAGTTCTTTAGCAAACTCTAAGTTATGGATCACTTCGTCATATTTTTCAACTGCTTCCTGTAAACAGACCAAGGTTTTAATATTGGATTAGGGTAAGACTTCTTTACTCACCATCTCACAAGGCTAAAGAAATCTGACGTATTCTTAGTGCCATTAGAGTAAGGCTTGCTTACATATATTGATTTCAACACCCAAACTACATCCAGTAGGCTGTTCGGCAAAATTTAAGGGGAGGGTAAGTGAATGGAAAAGCCAAGTAGTTACACAACAAGTTCCTCATAACATTTTAATTTACTTCCAATTTCTGATAATAAGATGCTAAAAGCCAAGAACAGCTATTGATTGAGTTGCCACTTACATAGGGATACAATCAGTTAGCACTGTGAAGTTTACAACTGAACAACAGAACTGTGAGAAGGCACATGCAGGCTCTGTCCCAGGAGAAAATAATGGACAGATGGAATGTTCCTATATACAAATCAGAAAGCTATAAGAAACTTACTGTAGCATCCCTACCTACACAATTATAGAATAAAAGGGAATAGCCCATCCATGTCTGATGTGATGCTCTCTGCTTATTATGCTGTTTGGGGAAGAAACAGATGGCAGTGTACCCACCCGCACACACTCCCAAGCTTAGTTAATCTGTGCATACCTTGCGTTGAGCGGTGATGCAAGATTTGGGGGACCATTTGCTTTACATAGCTTGTTCCTCTAACCTTTGCTCCCCAGACATCTCAAGCAGGATATGACTTATGTAGCCCACCTTAAGTTGTATCCAACAGAACAAGCATAAGTACGGCCATACCAGAGACTGTCATCTAAAGCTGGAATAATAACATCCTATCCTGCCTGGAAGGCTCACCTCAGCAAGCAAATTCCTAGTTTAAAGTCCTCGGGCAAATATGATTTACAAAATATTTCTGCATCCTTTTGATGAACAGGCATGTCACAATTTAGCAGTGCAACATGGAAAATGGACCAGCCAAAGCTACACCTATAAGGCAGACTACTACAGTAGACACCTTGACAGATTCAAATGTTAAGCTTGTAATAAGCACCTTCCCTATGAGGAAAGGCTGAAAAGTCCGGGACTTTTCAGTTTAGAAAAGAGATGACTAAGGGGGAACATGATAGACATTTATAAAGTTATGCATGCTCCCAAAATACCAGAACTCAAGAGCGTCTAATGAAGCTGATGGGCAGTAGGTTCAGGACAGACAAAAGGAAATAGTACTTTACAGAGAGTGATTAAATGTGAAATTTGCTGTCAGAGGATGTAGCGATGGCCACAGAAATAAACAGCTTTAAAAGAGGATTAGACAGATTCATAGAGGGTAAGTCTGTCAATGGCTACTAGCCATGGTGACTGAGGGGAACTTCCACATTTAGAGGCACTAATCCTCTGAATCCCAGAACCAGGAGGCAAAATAAGGGAAAGGTCTCAACCTCTATGCCCTGTTGTTGGCCCTCCAGAGGAACTGGTTGGCCACTGGGTGAGAACCACCGGTTGGCCACTGGTCTGAACCAGCTGGACTCTTCTGATGTGCTATGACCACAGCAACATCTATTCACGTTGGGAAAACTGCTTTCAAATCACACTTCAAGCACAGTTACTTTAGCTCATGTCACAAGCAGTATATACTGCTTGTCTCCACTGGAATTACTCAGCCAGGCATGATTTAACTTTAAGTTTGCTCTTGGACCTTGGAATTTTAATTCTGAAGTGCTCACGAGTACTTTGCTGCCTTGGCTATAGAGTATGTAGACCCTGCTGTGCCAGTATAGATCATACAATTAAACAGGCGGGACAAGCAAAGCCTACCGATCAAGGGGAAACCTTTCCGGATCAACAGAGCATGGGATACTATACCAACAGGTCCATGGCCATTACCGCACATAAGATTGTATATTTTGTTAATAAGCACATTGACTCAAGCCTGCCATTAGCACATATTACTTGCCAAAGAAGTCGCTTTCCAGCTGTCTTAAAGGCATTTTTATACAATCACAAGCAATTCAGTACAGAAATGGGACAATCAAGTGTGATCTCAACATGAATATTACCAGAACTGAAATACTACTTCCAGCCAAGCCCCGTAAGAGCTAAAAGCCTGAGTCAGGATGAAGTAAGATACATCATAGTTACCATTCTCACCATCCTCACTAAAATGCTAATTAACTTACTTGATAATTCCAGGAGGCCACAGTACCAGCTAGGCCACACTGCGTGAAACATATGGTAAAGCAGTGCACCACAACAAAACCCTCTCTTGAACAATGTGGAAAAACCATAACTAAAGTCAGGGAATACATAACGCACTATGGTTAGAGATGGAGTTACAGTAGTGCATGCTCCCAACCCTAACCTATCACACCCTTCCCCCCACCTTACACAGCTGTTAATTAATCAACACTAAACCTGGCTTCAATGTTCACTGCTAAAACCACCTTCACATTCTAATTCATCAACAGTTTCTGACTGCAGGAACTCATGTCACACAGGAAGCACAATCCTGCAGCCTGCTTTTCATTGTTTACACACGGAGGATTAAAAGATGAGGGGAGATTCATGAAGACGGGACCTGAGTGAGACTGCAAGGCAAGAAGTCCCTGAAACATGGAGGGTGGGAATGAAAACCTCCCTGATTTACAAAGTAAGTCCTGTGCAAGGTAAGCCCTTACATACATGCAGTCTATGAAAACTTATGCTTCGATACATTTATTAGTCATTTAAGGTATTACAAAACTCCTTTTTGGGGGGTTCGGTTCTTTGCTAACAGCAACCACAGGGACCCTCTTAAATTTATAACACAGAAGGCTCCCTCCAGGTCTGCTTATATGACCAAGTTAGCTTGCTAGGTATTTTTCACAACCTTATTTAGCAGGTGCAAATTCAGAACAAATTAGACCTTCCCAGAGGTTTTCTGTATATCTGCCTTTCCGTTCAAGCTTGGCCTAGTCAACTGCTTGGACACAGGTGATGTAGCCCCTCGTCTTCACTTGGCCTCCGGGACGGGAATTCAAGCTTGGCCTAGTCAACTGCTTGGACTAGTCAACTGCTTGGATTAGTCAACTGCTTGGACACAGGTGATATAGCCCCTCATCTTCACTTGGCCTCCGGGATGGGACTAGTACACAGGAACCCTCTTTTATCTCAGGCACTTGTATTGCACCCTCTTATGAAAAGTATTTAAGGCAGCTGACAATATTAAAAGCTCAACACTGAACATGCAGCAGCTGCTAAAAATTTCAAAACCCTTCAAATAACAGTGCAATCCTAAGCAAAAGTTACCCCGTTTTAAATTCAGTGACACCAATGGGCTTAGAAGGGTGTAACTCTGCTTGGGGTTGAGCTGTTTATCACCTAATAAAACAGAGGTTTTTTAAAAATCAGCACTACAAAATAATAAACAAGAAAAAGCAAGAACGTAAGATGAGCCCAATCGATACAGGCACACTGGTTTCTGCCCCTTCAAGACTCTTTGGAAATGGACTCCCAGAAGGCCGACAGTAAAGGGGCTGATCAGACCTCCCAGCACAAAGAGTTCCAAAGCCTGGAAGGCCACAGCTGAAACAGCCCTCTTCTGCATACCCACCAATCTCCCTTCACTAAGGCGGGCATGCATAGTAGGCTGGTATCAATTGATCTCAAGCGACAGATATCCAAATAGGGATGCAATCAGATGGCTATTTAGTGCTTCAAAGGTCAAGAGCAGCACTTTGAAATGGGCTCAGAAACAAAGTGGGCATGCACACGAAAGCTCATACCTTGAATAAACCTTTGCTGGTCTTAAAGGTGCCCCACTGGACTCCAAATTAGATAGCCAGTATGTTAATGTAAAACAGGGAGGGGGTCTGGTGTACTGCTGCATTCTCCAAAAGAAGCCTAACATCCCACATGTCACTATAGTCCAACCCAGGTATCCAAAACCAAGGCCAAATCCACCTATTGAAGGAATGATCCCAGCCAACAGAACAGCCTATAAGCATATGCTCTTAACTGTATCTGCCACCCACTTCTCAAGCAGCAGGGACGGATTCAGAAGTACCTTCAAGCTGCAAGCCAGACACCAATTTATAGCCTCCACTCCCCCCTGGATTTAGATGGAATGGAAGACAGGAGTTCCGTACCATCAACACACTGACAACACTGTACCCCAAACCTCTGGATGACTAGATGTTGAAAACTACAGGGCTAAGATGGAGCTCTGAGCCCCTCCCCCCCTCCATAAGCCAAAGTGGACTAGTAGTCTCCCAGCACCACCTTCTGGAACCGCTGTCTCACAGGGCTGAAACCACTGTGTCCCAAGCACTACCCTGGCCAATCAGCATAAAGGGATAACAGGGTGGATGGTATTAAAACCATGTATGTGGTCACGCTTCCCCCCCCCCTGCAGGCTGCCCCATGTAGTTTCAGTCCCAAAACGAGGCCAGACACCATAATTTAAAAGGTCAACTGTGCCACTGAACTCCTCTGAGAAATGGCAGATACAAATATAAAGACTGTCAACGAAGAACTGGTACAAGAACACACTCAAAAAACTTACCAGCTGATCCTGATTGAGGGACTCCCCCCTTTTCAGGCGCTCTTTATAGTCTTCTAGTTTGAGCTGAGAACACACATTAAACCAGTACAGGGTTAGGCTTCATGCAAGAACAGCCTTTTCTTACAAGTGCAGGGGAAGGGATTTCAGGTTACAGAAGAGAACATTCCAGGCACAGATCGAGCTTAAGTTACACAAAGACAAGTAATAACAACCACAACTGTTGCTATGTGGCTCCCCCAGCGCTCATTTTTAATGGAAGGAAAAAGCACTTAAGTTTATTAAATCTAGTAATCTGAAGTTGAGCCGTCAGGAGAAAGTGCCAAGCCTCGTTTAAACAGGCACATATAATATTTTAGAATTTAGCTCAAAGTAAGAGCTAAAGAGTATTATTTTCAGGACTGCAAGCACTGTTACAAGACCATGCTCAAGTTGCATAAAAATACAGGGCAGAGCAAAGACAATATGACCAGGCATCTTCTTACACAAGAAGAACATGGCTTCTTGATGGCAGAACTTCCCAAAGTAAATTCACAAAGCCAACAGCCACTGTTGAGAATCTGGAGATTTTAAACTGGTATATTCATCATTATGGGACACATCAAGGGGTAGCTTCCCAGCGAAGAGCTAAGCTTCCTAGTTGTGGTAACTACTGCAGCTGTACTGCAAAGCCACGGACTGCAGAATTAAAATGAAACCGGCTAACCAAGCATGAAGCTACTTACAGTCATGCACAGTTCTTTACACTGACAGTAAGGCTGCATGGAAATTCACAGGTTAGCTTGAGCTGCACTTTACATTATACAAAAATTGTAAGCCAAGCTGAGGGGAGACAATGTAGAAGACTCTGTACTGATGCATGCAAACTGTATTCTACGTTGCATCAGAAAGGTTTCATCACTTCTAACTGCTTGTTATCATAGGAATGATTTTTACAGGCTAGCAAGTATCTGACATTTAGCAATTCACACAGCTCTTTACAGAATTTCTTTAGCAAAAAGTTGACAGGTCCCTGCCTCCAGAAGCTTACAATCTATGACAACAGAATGAGTTAAATAAAATTGCCAAGAGGAAAGAAAGTGTATAAAGAGTATAAATTAAGGGATTAAAGAAAAATGGAGAAGCGAATGTGAAGCAATTAACTTATCTTAACTCATCAAGTCTGCTGGTAACCTAAAGCACCACTTCTGCTGTTTTAGAGGGACACACGTACCTTCTTTTTTTCAATGTTCCTGATCTTGTGTTTTAGGCAGATAAGCCCATTTTCAATGTAGGTCTCATAAGCCTGAGATGCCGTAGTAGCTGAATGCAAAGTTGCCTGCAGGGGGCTCAGAGGAGACTGGTTATCGCCAGGAGAACATTGGGTCACCTGCTGCTTGGCTGGCTTCATACTCTTCTCCTCCCCTTCCTCAGAAGGTGAAGGGCGGCGGAGCGGGGACTCTGAAAGCTGCACCATTGAAGCGGCAAAGGCTGCAAGGTAAAAAGGTAAAGGTTCCCTTGCTCGAAAGCCAGTCGAATCCGACTCTAGGGTTGCAGTGCTCATCTTCGTTTCAAAGCCGAAGAGCCAGCGCTGTCTGAAGACATTTCCGTGGTCATGTGGCCGGCGTGACTAAACACCAAGGCGCACGGAACACTGTTACCTTCCCACTGAAGTGGTACCTATTTATCTAATTGCAATTTCTTGCTTTCGAACTAATAGGTTGGCAGGAGCTGGAACTAGAGACGGGAGCTCACTCCGTCATGCGGCACCCGGGTCTCGAATTCCTGAACTACCGACCTTCCACAGCCTGCAATTCAGCGTCTTAACCACTTAACCAGTAAACTGTTTAGCTCTCTCTGCACTGCCGCAGCTACAGCATACATATTTAGTGCTGTTTTCACACACAAGGAAAGGGATACTGTACTAAGGTCTAATAAAACAAAAGTCTTTCTGCCTGCTCTTTTATGGAACACAGTGCTGAGCAGGATTCAATCACAAAACAGGAGATATAAAGAGAACCAGGAGTTTTTAGAACTAAGCTATTGGCCCACACACATAATACATAGCAGCTACAGCAGCCTTTCAGAGAGAGGAAGACATTTCACACGCAGCCGCCAGAAGATACATTGCAGGAAACAAAAAACTAGGTTTACCACCTAGCTGTAGAGTTGCCAACCTCCAGATGAGGCCTGGAGATCTCCCAGAGTGACAACTGCTCTCCAGGCAACAGAGATCAGTTCCGCTGGAGAAAATGGCTGCTTTGGAGGGGGGACTCTATGGCAAGATATCCCACTGAGGTTCCTCAGCTCCCTAAAACCCACCCTCCTCAGGCTCCACCCCCAACCTCTCCAGGTATTCCCCCACCTGGCATTGGCCACTCTACCTAACTCTGAAGCATCCCCAACCAGCCCGGCAGCAGCCAAGACCTTACAAAGTAAAATAAGGAATCTTAAAGAACTAACTCTAATGGTGCACCACTTCTTTAAGCCCCTCTCACTTCCAAGTCAGCTAAGCACCAACCTCAAATCACTACAAAGCATGTGCAAAGCTAAAGAGCCGACAGATATCACATACTGCTGACCCCGACATCTATAAGCATCTTTCCCAAAAGCGACCAAAGAGAGCTTTTTTAAAAACACACACACACTCAGTAGAGGCAGGACCACAATCAGCAGGGCCTCCCCCCCCCCAAAAAAAGAGGGGTGCCTCCAGAAGCAGTGCCAGGCACTTGCATCCATTTTGCTAGCCTGAAATAGAAGAGAATTTAGTCCACTGCCAGTCCATGAGAGGGGGCAGGCTCTTCAGCCAATAAGCCCCCCACCTGCAATATTCAACATGCCCTCTCACTGAGGGTGAAAGCGGCCGGAGGTCAGAGAGGGAGCGGTAAATGATGAAGCAAGGCATTTCATTTCCAAACGGAAGGAAGGGTTGAGCATTTTTGCTCCAGCTGAGAGAGCATCCAGAGGTGGGATTAGTGCTGCCTCAAGCTAGGCAAACCCTTACTAGGGACAGTTTGCATCATCACTGCAAAAGAAGAGGGAGTTCATAATTCCACCCACCGCAGTTTAGAGAAAACCGACGTAAGGAGCACCCAAATTCCAAGGAAAGGGCATTGGATCCCCGGCCATCCTTCATGCAGCAGGAGCGCTCTCGCTGCCGCCGCGCTCCCACCGCATTCCCACGGACTAGAGCCAAGAAGCGCCCGGCCTCTCCCTCCCTGCGCGGCGCTCCCACGCGACTACCGCTCACCTTAGCCGCCTACCAAACTCAAGCCCACTGGAGAATCGGCCTCCCTGTTTATAAAGCCTCCCACCCCCTGTGGAGAGGGGGGGAAAGGGCGGAGCCACGACGCAAGGTCACCCTCCGGCTCGCCAATCGGCTGCCGGACTTCGCCGCCCATCCCTCTCCAGGCAACCGCGTGGTCCGGCGTTTCTCCGGCGTTCTGTCCCGCCCACGTGACCCGGGGGACCGTTAACGGAGGCGTGGAGGAAGGGGGAGGGTGGTAGGTGATGCTGAGGCGGGGAGCAGGGGGCGCGGCTGGCGGAGTCGCCTTGTTGTTGGGTTTTGGTTGGGTTTGGAGGTTTGGAATTTGAATTAGGTATTTGAAGCCTCCAAATGAAGCTCGGGAAGGAGCTTATTGTTCTTGTTGCTATTGTTGTTATTTCTCTCAGACAAGTACATGTTTCGCATGCAAGGTCATTTTAAAAAAATGGGGTTCAGGTTGTAATGTTCTGAGTTATTTCTAAGCAGTTTAGTTATGTGCTAAGGTAACCTCGTTTCCTTTGTTGTGATTGGCTGCATAGTAAAGACCTTCTAGTGACCTAAAGCCATACGGAGTAGCCTATCAGAAAGCTGCGCTTAGGTCCCATCAGACCTCATGAAAGTATTTATGTTGTATATAGTTCAGTTTGGAACAGTATAAGTTTGGATGCCGCTCTTTGTAGAGTCAGATTAGAGCTGACTAATGTCACAAGCCGGAAAAAGATCAACAACCTCAGATATGCAGACGATACCACTCTAATGGCAGAAAGTGAAGAGGACCTAAAGAGCCTCTTGCTCAGGGTAAAAGAGAAGAGCGCAAAAGTGGGCTTGAAGCTCAACATCAAAAAAACTAAGATCATGGCATCCGGCCCCATCACTCCTTGGCAAATAGAAGGGGAAGTCGTGGAAGTAGTGACAGACTTCACGTTCCTGGGATCCCAGATCACCGCAGACTGTGACAGCAGCCATGAAATTAAAAGACGCCTGCTCCTTGGGAGGAAAGCGATGGCGAACCTAAACAGCATGATAAAAAGTAGAGATATCACCCTGCCCACAAAAGTCTGCATGGTCAAAGCAATGGTATTCCCAGTATCAATCCTGGGAATCCTAAAAGAAATCAACCCTGACTGTTCCCTGGAAGGCCAGATAATGAAACTGAAGCTCAAATACTTTGGCCACCAAATGAGAAGGGAGCACTCACTGGAGAAGACCCTGATGCTGGGAAAGACTGAAGGTCAAAGAAGACGGGGACGGCAAAGGATGAGATGGTTAGACAGTGTCATATAGATGCAACGAACATGAAATTGAGCAAACTTCAGAGGACGTCGGAAGACCGGAAAGTCTGGCGTGATCTGGTCCATGGGGTCGCGAAGAGTCGGACTCGACTGTGCAACTGAACAACAACAAATGTCTGAATAAAAGCCTTGTATTGATAATCATCTCCCGCCTTTCAATACATAAAACTGGCCCAGGAGGATGGGATGCCAGACCTAACCAACGGGGAAATCACTCTCGCCTGCCCAAGCTGAAATCACTGAGGGCACCTACAGCTAAATCACCATGGCATCCAAGAGCCATATCAAACTGTTCGACACCAAGGTTGGGAACTGGGAATCCTACCTCGACCATTTTGACTGCTTCCTTATAGCAAACAGTATTGAAGGAGATTATGTCTGCCATGCCACTTTCTTGAGTACCTGCGGCCAGGCAGTATTTGACATTGCTTGGGACTTAGTAGCTCCGTCCAAATTACTGGGAACACCTCTCAGCATCATCAAGGCACGACTCAACAGCTATTTTACACCTAAGACGTCCACTGCCGTACACTGATGTGCTTTCCACTAACGAAGCCAGAAAGTGGGTGAGTCTGTCACGGAATACGTCGCCGCGCTGCGAAGGGCTGCTCATGACTGCCAGTTCCCAAATTTGGATTCAGTCCTGATGGATCGTTTGCTCTGCGGTGTTAAAGACGACAGCATCAGGCAAGTGCTTCTGTTGAAAAAAGAACTCACGAATCAGCACTCCAAGAAGCGCTGAGAGTGGAGGCCGCCAACATTTCTCTTCGCAACTGCGTTTGAGTGCTCAGTCACACGTCATGCCGCACCGACACTGTTCACCACGGCGTTACCAATCGGAATCATCTGATGACGGAGTCCAAAGAACGGGAGCCAACCAGAAGCCGCGCCATTCTCAAAAAAGTCCGCGAAGAGGAGTGTGTGTCAGTTGCGGTGGCGCGCTCGTAGAGACTGTCAGTTACGCGATGCTAGTTGTCATTCTTGTGCAAAGACAGGCCACATCGCTAAAGTCTGTCGCTCGTCACATGGTCATACTGCACCTGAAGTCTTCCATCATCCAGAAGGATCTTTGAGTAAGTCTCACCACTCGTTTCGTTTTTTGTCCTCTCGTCCTTCAATCGATAGTCTGTCGCTCGTCACACGGTCATACTGCACCTGAAGTCTTCCATCATCCAGAAGTAAGTCTCACCATTCGTTTCATTTTTTGTCCTCTCGTCCTTCAATCGACGGCTGAAATACAGTAATGAAGCAAGAGTGTCAGAGGACTACACTAATTGCCTATACATCCACCAAGGTCTTCATACATGTCCCAAGGTCAAGGTTACTGTCTCCCTTGAAGGTCACGTTTGTCAGATGGAGGTCGATTCAGGTTCCGCGCTGTCAATTGTCTCGTGGAACACATTTCAACAAGTCTGTCCCAGGTTCTCTGCACGCCATCTCCAGAAGTGCAGTCTGCAACTTTTTGATTTCCAAAGGAACCAAGTTCCTGTCGTTGGTGTCACCTCTGTCCAAGTCAAGTACAAGAAATTCAACAGTCGTCTTAATTTACTCGTCATTGATGGTCATTGCACAAGTCTTATTTGTCTGGACTGGTTTGCCGCCCTTGGTATTGAAATTATCGACGTCAACAGTGTCGATCAGTCAGGAGCTGCCAATTTTGTAGAAGAGTTCCCTGATGTCTTCAGTTCAGAACTCAGCTGTTACAAAGGGCCTCCAGTTTCTTTTGATTTGAATCTTGCAGTTCAACCCATACACCTCAAACTACAACGAGCACCCTTCACCCTCAAGCCTCGCATCGACGAGCAAATCAACAAACTGCTAGCTCAGGGTATACTGGAACTAGTTCCCAATGCCAAATGGGAAACCCTGATCATCACTCCGATAAAGCCAGATGGCTTGGTTCGCTTGTGCGCAGATTACAAGTGCACCCTCAACAAGGCCCTGCAGCAGCATGTGTACCCGGTTCCTGTGGTAAGCCATCGTCTAGCATCCATCTCTGGGGGCCAGGTGTTTGCCAAAATCGATTTGGCACAGGCATACCAACAACTGCCTGTTGACACAGCCACAGCCGAGGCTCAGGCCATTGTGACGCATCGAGGCACCTTCAAGGTAAACTGACTGCAGTTCGGGGTAAGTGTTGCCCCCAGGATTTTCCAAGAACTGATGGAGCACCTTCTTAAGGACTTGACAGGTGTCATCCCCTATTTTAATGATGTACTGATAACGGGAGCCTCAGAATTGGAACTGACTGTCCACGTTCGAGAGGTGCTCAGTCATTTACAGAAGGCTGGCCTTCGAGTAAAAAGGGAGAAGTGCAAATTCTTTATCCGCGTGGTCAAATTCTGGGGTTTTTTCCTGGACAAAGATGGCATCCATCCTGCGCCAGAGAAGGTTGCCAGCCATTGCTGAGCCTCTTCATTGGTACAGTCCTTTTTAGGACTCCTTAATTTCTATCACTCGTTCCTACCGGGGAAAGCAGCCATTGCTGAGCTTCTTCATTGGTTGTTAGACAAAACAGCTCTGTGGGCTTGGGGTCACAAGAAGCAAGCAGCGTTCTAAGCCATCAAAGCTCTTCTGGTCTCCGACAGAGTACTCGTCCACTATGACGAGCAACAGCCCCTCATTTTGGCCTGCGACGCGTCACCCTATGGGATCGGGGCAGTCCTCAGCTACAGGCTGCCAACTGGCCAGGAGGCCCCCATAGCATTCTATTCCAAGGACTCTATCCACAGCGAAGATAAATTATGCCCAGAAAGACCGGGAGGTGTTGGCGATCATCGCAGCGGTGAAGAAATTTCATGATTTCATCTACGGTTGTAAATTCAAAATCGTCACTGACCGCAAACCACTGCTTGGCATCTTCACGAAGGATCGCCTAACACCACAGATTCTATTACCAGGGATGATGCGTTGGGCCATCCTCCTCTCCACCTATGACTTCAACCTCATCCACAGGCCCAGAAAAGCCATCGGGCATGCTGATGCCCCCAGCCGCCTGCCACTGCCTGAACAGCACAGGGCCCAGATCCAGGAAAGGCTCCTCATTGAAGAGCTCCCTCAGCCTCCACTCACAGTTGCCGACGTCATTTTCTACACCACCCGGGACTGTATGTTCAGCCGCATTTTCAACTACATGTGGAGGGGATGGCCGCCCAGGAACCTCGAGGCCAAGTTCCATCCGTTCCAAGCGCACTCAGCAGAATTGTCAGTGAGCAAGGGATGTCTTCTTTGGGGGAGCAGGGTCGTGGTCCCTCCCCAACTGAGACAGCGAGTTTTGGACACCCTACATGTGGGGAACCTGGCATCATAAAAATGAAAGCGATAGCGAGGAACTATGTCTGGTGGCCAGGACTCAACCAACAAATCAAGCCCTGGGTCCGAACGTGCCAGCCCTGTCAGGAGTCGAGGCCAGAAGCTCCCTCAGTCCCTGTTCATCCATGGGAAAAGCCGTGGGGTCCATGGTCCCATATCCACATTGACTTTGCTGGCCCATTTCAGGACAGAACACTCCTGCTGATCATGGATGCATACTCCAAATGGCTGGAAGTGTTTCCTGTCACTTCCATGACTACGATCATTGTCACCCGCTGCCCGGACCGCCTGTTTGCCACTTTTGGCCTACCGGACCTCCTTGTCTTGGACAACGGAGCTCAATTCACCTCCACCAAGTTCCCATGGTTCGTGGACGAGAGGGGCATCAGACACGTCACCTTGGCTCCTTTTCATTCGGAGTCGAACAGCCAGGCAGAGCACATGATAAGAA